TTTTTTTTTTTCCCCCCCCCCCCCCCCCGTGGATTAGGGCTCATGGCGATACCACGTTAAAAAAAGCGCGCCTAAAGCTCTACCTCCAGGAGCAGTACCGTATCATTTACCTGATCGGACTATCCTAAGGTGGTGTGGAAACGAGCTTTTCAAAAATTGTTTCCCCGTTCCTTTTACGATTTGTGCTTTATACTGCCGTGCTGAGGAAAAAAGCCGTATGAATATTCGAGAGGTGCCAAATGTCCTCCGATAAAACGTTTAGTAAAGAAGAAAGTTACGAATATTTTTCCTTGACATTTTCAGGAACTTTAGGTGAAATTGCGAACAAAATTATCTGAAAATTTGGGAGAAAAACATTTTCCCAAAAATTCGTGATATTGCGAAGGAAATTTGGCAACGCCTGAGGGTTTATACGGCGTTCTTCCTTAGCACGGCAGTATAGCTTCTGGCTGACGTTAAAACCTATCTTTTTATGGAACCATACGAAACTGAAATTTTCAGGCGAGAGCAACACGAGGCTGAAGAAGTGTGAATTTTCTTTTTTACACGGAGAGCAGAAATTAAATACCTGGTAACTGCCATCAGGTGCCTATAATGGGGCATCAGTTTCTAATAGACCAAATTTAGAGAAAATTTCCCGATGGAAATCCAATGAAAACAGGACACTTTACGCTGAGGAGCAACATGCATATTTTAGCAATAACCTGATGACGCTCGCCAGGTTTTGAATTTCTACTCATCATGTATGATAGGCCAAGGTGATGTCATAAGTCTGTGTGGTATACTGCCGTGCAAAAGAAGAACGCCGTATGAACATCCGAGAGGAGCCAAATTTCCTCCGATATAAGGTTTATTTTTGAGGAAAGTTATGAACATTTTTCTTTGAGATTTTCTGGAGCTTTAGGTTAAATTGGGAACAAAATTATTTGAAAAATTGGAAGAAAAATATTCATACTCCTACTAGGAAATTCGTGTTTTATCAAAGGAAATGTGGCAACCCTTGAAGGTTTATACGGCGTTTCTCTATAGCACGGCAGTGTAGGGTCTACGGTTTGTAACCATTGTGTTACACAGCACCGCACCGATCCGAGTCTATCACAAGGGGACTTTAACGCAGGAGTAGAAAAGTAGAAAAGTACGATGCCCATTGATGGTAAGCCAAGGTGACGTTTAAATGCTGCAGCACGAAGTTTACTTTCACAGTGGAGGGAAAGTTATTTTTCTTGAATTTCTACATTATTTCATCTATTAATTATGACTTGACAAAAAAATTAGTCTAGATGCGTGAAATCACAAACTTTTAATTGCTTTAAATTTTTACCATTTTTAATTGTCGTATCCTTCTCACATCTCGTCTCTTTCTCAACCTATATACATAATTTTGGTTTTTTATTACTGTGTTTTGTTAATTGTAGTATGTGCGTTTGATGATGGCGTTTGCCAAAATGTATTGTATGTCAGATTAATATAATACAAATTATGTAATTTCATGCATGCGGGCTACATTTTTGGAAAATTCTTGTGAGAAATTGAATGGTTTGAATAATTTTGCAACGTTTGAATTGGGTTACGTTCCATCGTCCGAAATATGATGAAGAAGAAGTAAGCAGTTGCTGACTTTTATAAACTTATTGGGATGATAGCGGGAGACGCATAAACGCATACGAATATTGTGACTTAATGTTCGTATCCACGAATGTTTCGTAATATTCGTTGAGGATTTGGTTGCGCATCAAAAATGTGTAAGCATGAGAAAAATACCTCGAGATTACGTGGCACTGAGCCCGTGCACGGAACTACAGACAACTGGATTCTTGGTCGCCAGGAGCAGCAATTTGGCAACCCCGGATTCCCTCCTTTTAAACCTATGCTAAAAAATCGATTCTTGTCGGAGCACATGCCCCCCCCCCAAGAATCGATACATTTCCATAGGTTTAAATGGAGGAAAGACGATGTTGCCAATTTGCTGGATCCGCCAATGTCGCCTGGACAAATAAAGTACGGAACTACATTTCAACATAGCGAAACGCCTGCTCCCAGATTGTATTTATCAAGTTTTTAACTGAAAATGTGGCAGAGTTTTCATCTGATTACATGTGAAATCAGCATGATTCGGGCAGCTCTTCTGCCGTGCTTAGGAAAAACGCCCTATGAACCTTCAGGCGTTGCCAAATTTCATTTGAAAAAAACACTAGTTGTTAATATTTTTCTTCCAATTTCTCAGATAATTTTGTTTGCAGTTTGATCTAAAACTTCTGAAAATTTTAAGAAAAAATATTCATAACTCTCCTCAAAAATGAACATTTTATCGAAGGAAATTCGGCACTGGAGTCTACGTAGCGCCTGATAACCCCGAAAGATATGAAGGCGAATGGATATTACACCAGAATAGCGTATGACACTCCGCAAAAAGAGTAGACTCCGCCTCGGATTAGTGTAAGCCATTCCGTAAGGAAAACAGATGCGCTCTGAATACATAGTACTCGGGGTTTTTGAAAGTTACGTAAACTCCGGAGCCAGATTTTACTCCAAATTTTTCATACAGTGTATTATAGCTGTTTCGGAGGTTAAAAGAAAACTAGTTTGAAATTACGAGTGCATTCGTTGTATTTCCAAAAAGAATGTCCAATATTCAGAATATTCTAGTATTATAAACGTTACATTTCTCAGAGCCTTTTTCTTCCATTTGCCTGAAAGACTGTAGAAGTGTAAAATATTTGCACTCGATGGGGCGTGCAAAATTTAAAAATATGACTATGAATAAATAACTAACTATAACACCTAAACTATAAAAGTAACCATTTCAATGAGATTTCTTCCTTCAATCATTAGATAGGCAACATGCTTAACACTCAAATGCAGCAGCGATAATTTTACCGTGTAAATTTATTTTAATTTTGCAATTCATTGCAACCGGTGCTACTTTGAAATAGGGAACTGCTTACTATTTCCGACGCGGCTCATCCATACAACCTTCTATCTACATTTGGTAACAAATAGTGTACTGGAAAACAAAAACACATTGGATGTAGAGTCCAGACTCTTAAAAACATCGACAAGAAAAAGTACTCTTGATTCAATCAGAACCTAGCTTAAATCAAGCCTCTTAATTTAAACGGATTTCGTTTTGATTCAAGCAAAAATCCGATTGAATCAAAAGTATTTTTTCTTGTCAATGTTTTCAAGAGTCTGAACTCTAGATCCAATGTGGTTTTTTTTTCAACTGCGCGTGCGCTATTTGTGAAACGAACCGGAAATGTACATTAGACGTATTCTGCCGCACTAAGGAAGAACGTCGTATGAAAATTCGAGCGTTGTCAAATTTCCTCGGATAAAACATGTATTTGTGAGGAAAGTTTTGCACAGTTTTCCTCGGACTCTTCAGATACACTGTTAAAAATTCCGGCGCGCATATGGCGCTTATTTTCATGTTGTACTGTTGGTATATAGGCTGCACTCAGATCCAGAGCGGGAGTGATATTCGCGCTGAACTTATTTTTCGCGCTGGTCATTAACTCAGAGAAAATCATGGATTTTTAACAGTGTATTTTATATTAAATCGCGAACAAAATTGACTGCAAAATTTGGGGGGGGGTAAATATTCACTATTTTCTCGGTAAATTTGACTTTTATTGAAGGAAATATGGCAACATCTAGAGGCTCATACGGCATTCTTCCTTAGCTTAGCACACTGAAAAAAAAATCTCGGTGTATTTACTAAGAAAAGGGTAAAATTACCAAGAATTCAGGGTTCTATTTGATCCCAGTTTTTTCTTGGTAAAATTACCATTTATGGAATTGGTAATTTTATCGAGAAATTTCGGAAAAATTATTGAGCTTTCACGGTAATTTTACTGGACCGTGGTAAAAACGCCAATAGTTTTTATCGACTGTGGTAGAATTACCGAGATAAAATGGCAAAGTTACCGGGAATTGATTACCAATAAAAGTGGTATTCTTACTTGAAAAAAACAGTAAAATTGCCGGTTTTTAGGTAAGTTTACCAGTCTGTCTTGGTAAAATTACCAATAATTGGTAAAAAAAGTGAGATGGTAAAGGTACCAACGGACCTTGGTAAAAACGCCGAGAATTTTTTTTCAGTGCAGGATTATAAAACAGACGGAACTCAGAGTCCCTAACATTCGAGATTGGTCACTGATTCAGACGGTGACGACGTGGTGCTCGTCGACGTAGGGCTCTGAAACTCGGTTCCTGAACTCGGCGTGGATCTCCGAGAAGGACTTCCCCTTCGTCTCGAAGACGACCTCGTTGACGAAGACGCTGGCGCTGAAGCAAAACGCGGCGAAGACGATGAAATTCATGTACATCCCGAAATACGTGTCGATCGACTGGAAGATCTTCAGCGTGAAGAAGGAGAACACGGTCAGCGTGACGGCCGTGATCCCGTTGGCCAGGCCGCGCGTGTTGGACGGGAAGTACTCGCACTGCAAAAATACAAAATCGGGGACTACGTAGAATCTTAGTTTTGAAATCTGCTTTGAAAAAAAAAAATCTTGGTGTATTTACTAAGAAAAGGGTAAAATTATCAAGAACCCAGGGTTTTATTTGATCCCAGTTTTTTCATGGTAAAATTACCATTTATGGAATTGGTAATTTTACCGAGAAATCTCGATAAAATTATTGAACTTTCTCGGTAATTTTACTGGACCTTGGTAAAGACACCAAAATTTTTTATCGACCGCGGTAGAATTACCGAGATAAAATGGCAAAGTTACCGGGAATTGATTGCCAATAAAAGTGGTATTCTTACCTGAAAAAAACAGTAAAAATACCGGTTTTTAGGTAAGCTTACCAGTCTGGCTTGATAAAATTACCAATAATTGGTAAAAAAGTGAGATGGTAAAGGAACAACGGACCGTGGTAAAAACGCCGAGAATTTGTTTTCAGTGTGACTAAATAGACGAGAGAATAGATTGGACGTCCTGAAACGGAAGAAGTTCATCTGAATTGGGCGCAAATCAATCAAAAGGAACTATGTATCCACTGTGACATGGGACCTGCCATTCATGTACCCTTATGGATCTTAGCGGGACCATTGTTGAAATCGATAGACAATGCGATAGATAAAGAAGACATAAAGGGTAAGGAGTATGGAGCGATTCTATCGGTTAGATTTGGGTGGTTCTTATAGACAACGGGAGAAACTGATGGACTAACTATAGGGTCTCTCGTGGGTTGCTGTTGGTAAGTCTATTGCCACCACCTGCCTCTACCAATAGGATCCCTTCTTATCTTTCTTGTCTTCTATGTCCATCGCTTCGTCTGCATATTTCAACAATCATTCCGCAAGAAGGCTCGTCGTCGAACGGTTTGCAGCGGCCCATTGAGCTGCAAGTCAGGCTGCACGTCGGGCGGCCTGCGAGCTGATTACTGAAATTGAGAGACAAAGCTATAGACAAAAAGGACATAGAAAGTATGGACCGATCCTATTGGTTAAAATGTGTGGTTCCTAGGCTAAGGGAGATAATGATGGACTAACTGTCGGATTTCTCTTAGATTGCCGTTAGTTAGTTTATTACCCATCGGCTTTGTCCATTGCACCTACCAGCTTCAACCAATAGAGTCCCTCCATATCCTTTTTGTCTTCTTTGTCTATAGCTTTGTCTGTTAATTTCAATAATCGGCCAGCTGGCGAGTAGCTTAATGGGCCGCGTGGGCGCGCTTTAAGCCGTTCAAGTCTTAGAATCATGCTTTGATGTTTGATTATTTTAGATTATCTAAATATAATAAGATCCGTCCAAGAGGTTGCACAATCTTAGCAACATGCAATGCTCTTGGTTTCTTTTTTCAAAATGCGGTCCAATTGTTCAACTCATGAACCAAGGGTATCTTCGTATTCAGTTCAGTTCACTCAAACACGAAATTCATCTAATGGAGATGTTGCATGTGTGAGGTATTTGCGATATGACTGTTGATTCTATGTAAAAGTTCACGAGAAACACGATGTGACCACAGGTTTTCTCTGAAATTAACTCCCAAGCTTAAAAAAAGCTCTCAAGTTGAGGCCAAAATGGAGGGGATATCCCACGCTATCCTGAGAGTCCACCTCTACATCAAGACAAACTCTCCATGCAAAGATAGGGAGCAAATACATTAACAGGGTTGCCCCTTTATTTGGGGACTCCAAAACTGAAGACACGGCAACTCTACTAATGTATTTGCTCCCTATCTTTGCATGGAGATTTTGTCTTCATGTAAAGGTGGACTCTCAGGATAGCGTGGGATATCCCCTCCATTTTGGCCTCAACTTGAGAGCTGTTTTTGAGCTTGGGAGATGATTTCAGAGGAAACCAGAGGCACCATCGCGTTTCTCGCGAACTTTTACGTAAGAAATCAACAGTCAAATCGCAAATTCCTCACACATGCAACATATCCATTTCAGACACCTGCATGCAAATCCCTAATCACTAAAAAAGTGGCACTCTAATGGGATACCTGGATAGTAGAATGGACGGCGCCGTACCCGATGGTGTGGAAGCAAGCAAGCGCCCCGACGGCGGCGAAGACGATGAAGGCGTAGTCGCTGAGGGGCGGGAGGAGGCGGAGCTCGTAGAAGTAGAGGGCGATGAGGACGTTGGTGAGGGTGAGGCCGGCGGAGGAGATGAGGAGCATCGGGCGGCGGCCGCAGCGGTCGACGAAGCCCGCGGAGGCAATCGTCGAGACGACGATGATGACCGCGAAGGAGATGGAGATGAGGTTGGCGTCGCACCGGGTCCCCGTCTCCTCGAACGTCATCGTCGCGTAGGTCAGCAGCGCGCAGATCCCGGTCATTATCTTGAACATGGAGAGCACCTGGAGCCACAGAAAGCGGAGGGTAAGGGTTCGATCATCGTGAATCCATCAAAAAAATGGTTAGAGTACCTATATGGGACGTATTTCTACCAAACAGACCTATGTGGAGGTGAGAAATATGGGGTGTGCTCATCGAAGCTGCATAAGAAGCAATGTAAAAGTGGGCGTAATTCCTTTTGAAGAATTGGAAAAGCGGGATTTTACATTCTATCAAACAGACTAGAGTACCTATATTGAGAGAGTATGGCCACTGCGGGCCCCATGGAGAGGCTTAGGACCCAAAAATGGCGGTGCTTTGTTTTGGTTTTCGTGGATGGGAGGGGGGTCATCGCCAACTTTTGACGCTTATCACCAACCGCACTTGCTGCCAACCTTACTACATCTAAGATAATTTTTCTCAAAAATTGCACACGATTAGCCTTAAAAATATGTAAAGATGTCGCAATAGTGCATTTGAGTAAATTTCTCGTTACGATAAACAAAGAAAACTACATTTTGAGTCATTTTGCATTACATTAATTTATGGCGTCCGCCATTTTTGGGTCCTAAGGGCTCCATTTAGCCTAAGATGGCTGAGCCAATCAGAGGTGGTAACCCCAGTGGCCATACTCTCTCAATATAGGTACTCTAAGTACCTGTATAGGTAGAATACCGACAGATCTGAAACTCCGAAAGTCCATCAGGCCTTCACCGATGCCTCCGCGAATAAAGTTAGGGCCCAAAAGGGCAGCCAACCTATGAATTTCAATTATCCAGAGCGATTTACTGATACTATTGTTACGAACCGTCCTTTATTAAGCACGTGTTTGACTCAGTTTTTGCATAAATTTACTCAATTTCGCGGAAGAACGCTCATTTCTGTACATTCTTGGCCATCTTGGTTAGAATTGGAATCTGCAGACTGGCAGTGAAATTTTGTGCGTTAGAAGTTGGTTAGAAGGGTGGCTGCACTTTTGGGCCCTAAGCCCTCCATGAACCGATCTGTCGGTACTCTCTCTAAACAGGTACTCTAGGTAAGGGTTCGATTAGTGTTCGAAACTCACAGGCGCCAGCGCGCCAAATGCGCCTAAAAAATCGGCCATGGCGCCTAAAAAATGAAGGCCCTGCGCCAATGTGGCCCCTAAAAATCTGGATTTTCATAGGATGAATCGAAAAAACTCAGAATTTTCAGCACTACAAGTGAAAGCTTTTTTTATTCTTCACGATTTCATTCTTAGTGCTTTTGTCTTCCCCAAGTTACAGCTACTAACTAGTTCTGTTACAAAAACATCTTGCGTCTAACTTTTCACTAAATTCGCCGTAATATTTAGGAAAAGAGTCAATTTGGCCCCTAAAAAATCTTCAATGGCGCCTAAAAATCGGGCTTGATGCGCCACATGGCTCCTAAAACTCGAAGGTGAGTTTCGAACACTGAGTTCGATCGACATGAATCCATCGAAAAATGAAAACGTGAATCGATCGACATCGTTTTAACCGATAGGATAGCTTCATTTTCCCTTTGTCTTCTTTGTATATGGCTTTGTCTATCAATTGAGGGTATTTCTGGCAAACAGAACTATGTGCATTCTGAAGTCAACTCTGTTATGCATATATCCTTATGAGCCCCAGGGATCATGTCTTAATGTACATAGTTACGCTAGACAGGAATACGTCCAATTTCAATGATCAGACTGCAGATAGGCAACGACTTGATCGAGGAATGATTAATTGAAACCCCGGTATCGATTCGATCGATATGAGTAAATCGAGAGACGGAAACTCGAACGGATCGACAGCGACTCTGATTTATATCGATACAATCAACGATTATTAAAAATCCCATCGTTGATTCGATAGACATGAATCGATCGAAAAATTACAGTATGGACAGATCGACAACGATTCGATCGACATGAATCGAAAAATAAAAACGTGAACCGAGCGACAAAATTCGATGGGTTCACTAGTTTGTCGATCGATTCGCGGGTTTTTCAATGGATAGGTCAACAGCGCGCAGATCCCGGTCATTATCTTGAACTTGGAGAGCACCTGGAGCCACAGAAATCGGAGGGTAAGGGTTCGATCGACATGAATCCATCAAAAAATGGTTATAGGACATTTCGTCGACGATTTTTTGTCCGCGCACCTGTTTTTTCCAGTAATTTACGTCCACGCGTTGTTCGGCACGGGAGTTCTGGTCCACGTGCCAGTTGAGACCCAAAGTTAATTGGCCCGCACGTGTAAATACAAACGGCAATTGCTCACGACGTTTTTGGATGAAAATGTAAAATGTCTTTGAAGAACGAGGGTTTGCTTGTTTTTTCGTTTTGTCCGTTTGGTCCAACGGAGAATAAAATATAGTTGAGAGTTTTGGTAAAAATGGGGGAGCGTCAATTCCACGAGACAAAATTCACTAAAACTCTCTACACCTCTTTGGTGTAACAGGACTTAATTATCTTTCAAGATTTTCCCACCTTGTTATACCTGAACCGGATAAACCTCTTTGCCTCGGCTAAAGGATCTTAGGTTTTTCCAGTGTACGTTAAGTATCTTGATTTATTTTGCGAGGAAAGATCTGTACTTTTAAAGCAGGCTTGTCATTCTTAATACGTTCAATTTCGTATAATACTGTGCAACACTTCTGTTGTGAAATAGTTGCCTCAGGCGCCGCCGCACGGCGGGCGGGCGGGCGGCCAGCGCGGAACGCGCATTGGCGCCTACAAACCTTAGTGGATACTTCAAGCATTGTGCAATGCGTGAAGTATCCACTTAGGTTTGTAGGCGCCAGGGAGCCTCTCGCGCTGGTAGCACGCAGCTCCGCTCTGTTCGGCTTTAATATTTATACTCGCATAGTCAGCGTTTTTTAACTCAAGATTTTGAAATGTTTGCACACTCTGCATTGATTATTCTCATTCAAATTGATGGGAAAAAATATATATCAATTTATCAAAGGAGAATAATAATATGATGTGTGTTTTTGAAATTTTGGTGGTTCCGTGTCAAATTTAATGATTTCCAAAGCACTTTAATTTTTTCTTTTACATTTTGTGCTTTTATTGTGCTGCAGCGAGGTGTACGCGCAACGAAACGCTCAAAATTGGACGTATTTGACTCTAAAAGATCGATGTACAAATGGGTTAAAACTAAAGATTGCGTGCTTCTTGGTTTTTNGAAGTTCGCGGTAGTCACTTTTCGGTAAGGAACTAAGGGACTCGGTTATTGTATCGAGCAGGGTTCGAAACGATCGCAAAGGCGGTATACTACGTATACGCGCCAAAAAAAAAAGAACCTGTACACATATAAGGTAGATTGTACATCGAATATTTTAAGGAGAAACAAAACCAAATATTCACCAATGACAATTTAAAAAGATGATTCAAAAGGAGAAAGTAATAATATTTCATTTAGAAAATGAACAACCATAATAACACCTCCTTCTCTCTCAATTTTTCATTTCCATATTGTCAATATAATTTTACATACCGACTAAAATATATCGCTTAAACTAAGGCACTGTTGCTTATTTTACGCGTGGGCGTAAACTACTGGACAAAAAAGGTGCGCGGACAAAAATCGTTGACAAAATGTCCTGAAACCCAAAAAATAAAAACGTGAACTTCCCGAGTCACATGCATTGAAGTGGCACACAGAAGGGGCGCGGCAAGCGTAAGAAAAAATGAAACGCCTACAGTTTTCCAGATATGCAATACTGACATCCCCAGAGCAGTAATAGTTGCATCCAGGAGTTTTAAACAGGCGGTGCCTTTTTAACAGGTGTGGTAGAATCTTGTGACCGTATAAAGACCGTCCTACGTCATTTTTTGACACCACTGATGTAGACAAATCTGATATGCTTCTAGCTGACCTCATTTCCTCTTTTCTGACCTCATTGCGGATTGGATCGACATAAATCGATCGACGCGAATCGATCGACACCAATTCGATCGATAAATTATTACAAAACCAGTGTTGATTGGATCGACGTAAATCGATCGAAAAGTTAAACGTGAACCAATCGACAAAATTCGATTGATTCACGAGTTTGTTGATCGATTCACAGGTTTGTCAGAAGCTTCTGAGCTCGATCTCTCAAAACTTCATTTTTGCACTAACTGCTCTCGTCGCTATCACGGCAGAACTGCCGCGCTGAGGAAAAACGTCCTATGAACATTCCAATGTTGCCAAATTGCCCCGAATACAATATGTATTATGGAGAAAAATCATGCGTATTTTTCCCTGAAACTTTCAGACGTTTTGGATAAAATTGCGAACAAGATTGTCTGATAAAATTGAAGAAAAACATCCACAATTTTCATAGTAAATTAAGCTTTTATTGAAGGAAATATGGCAACGTCTGAGGGCTCATACGGCGTTTTTCCTTAGCACGGCACTAGAGGGACTCACTTTCTGAGGAAATCAGTGGCATCATCGACCTCGTGCGTTTTTTTCGCGGAATTCTACATGCGGACTATGTCTCTAAATCGAAAATCTCCGTGGCATGCAAGAGCTCCATTACTCCTCAAAGGCTGATTGTGTTGCATAAACACACGGAGAAAAAAACTTCATGCGTGGGACCCGAAGTTGAGGTCATGTGGATCTCTGATGTTTTCGGATCACGTATCTAAAAACTTGAGGTCCAGTTTCCGAAGTTCGGGTCAGACATCTGAAGTACCTCGATTTACACCGAAGGGTTCAGGTCACACATCTGAAGTACTCTGGTACATACCGAAGCGCCTCGATGTCTGACCCGAACTTCGGTAGCTCGTCCCCACGTTTTCGGATGCGTAATCAAAAAACTTTTTTTTTTTTTTTTTTTTGGATTATTTATTTAGCACATCTATGATATACATATTTAGCACTGTTACTGTGCAATGATGCGAATGTGAAGAAAATGAGTATGAAAATAAGATTAAATCTAGAATAATATTAACTAACTAATAAGACAATTGTCTAATAACTTAAAATTAGACAAATTTTTATAAATACAAGACATTAAGAAACCGTACATACATAAGATAAGTTAAAATAAACCCCGTATGTACAGAGAACGTCTTTCGTTTCACTCTAACGAGCTACTAGCCCTTATTGTAAAGATAGAACAAATTAATCATCAATAAAATCAGAAATGAGGTCAAAAAAAAACAAGCAGTGAACTCCAACACAATGTGTTGATAAGGCGCGTCATTAACTCGCACATATCAACCCCTTTAGTTTTCATTTACAGAGATTTCAAAATAGGCAAACAGCATAAAAAGAGAATTCACGATCCAACACTGCGAGGTCAAAGACGCACCTTGACGAGACCGTGTATTGTGAAAGTAGAAAGCTATTCGATCGAATTTAAGTTTTTTGATCTGCCTCAAGCANGTTAAAATAAACCCCGTATGTACAGAGAACGTCTTTCGTTTCACTCTAACGAGCTACTAGCCCTTATTGTAAAGATAGAACAAATTAATCATCAATAAAATCAGAAATGNGGTCGAAACGATCGCAAAGGCGGTATACTACGTATACGCGCCAAAAAAAACTTCAGAGATCCATACGACCTCAACTTCGGGTCCCATGCAAGTTTTTTCTTCGTGCAAAAAAACGAGGGCGCTCCGACTGACCTGGAGAATGATGAGCGCCTTGCGGTTCCCGACCTCGGTCATGAGGTCCATGAATGTGGACTTGTTGGCCATGTCGGTCTCGACGGACTCCTGCATGAGGAGGAGCTCTTCTTCGATCGGGTCGTCCTTGCTTCGGAAGAAGGCGAGAGACTTGCGCGCGGCCTTGAGGTCGCCGACCATGAGGTAGAAGTAGGGCGTCTCGGGGATGAACATGAACCCGAAGAACATGACGGTCGGCATGGCCAGGCAGATCATGGCGAAGACGTCGTAGGAGAACGGCGGTCCGAACACGTAGGCGTACAGCGAGCCCACGTACATCATCACCGAGAACATGCTCCCTGGAAGCATAAACAAAGACATCGGCGATTCCAGCAAGTTGGAAACACTATATTTCCTCCATTTAAATCTAAAGTACCTATTTAGGGAGAGTATGAAAGACAGGCAGCTGGTTTGGTATGGACATGTGCGGAGAATGGCAGATAGTAGGTTGCCCAGAAGGGTATTTGATTGGGTTCCTCCCGGTAGAAGGCGGCGTGGACGTCCAGTAAAAGGTTGGCGAGATGGAGTGGAGGGGGAGATCAGACGGTGTAATCTGCCCGATGATTTGTGGGAGGATCGATTCCGATGGCGATTTGGAGTCGCAGAGCGCTCTAGTGCGCTGAGGTAGCGGCTTCATATGTATGTATGAAAGACGCAACCCTTTTCGGCACGCGACGTAAACATCGGAGAGTTGGAAGAGGTATTTTCGGCACAAGCTATATTTTATTCTTTTATCTTTCTTTTGGCCGTATATTTTCACCTTTTCTTCTATTGTAAGAACACGATCTGAAAAATATACTGCCGTGCTAAGGTATACCGTCGTATGAACCTCCAGGCATTGCCAAATTTCCTTTGATAAAACACGAATTTCCTGGTAAACTTATGAATATTTTCTTTCAAATTTTTTAGATTATTCTGCTCGCAATTTCACTTAGAGTTCCTGAAAATTTCAAAGGGAAATATTGATAACTTTCCTCAAAAAGAACGTTGTATCGAAGGAAATTTGGAAACTCTTTAATGTTAATACGGCGCTCTTCCTTAGCATGGTAGCATACTCCTAATTTTTGACAAATAAGCAAAAAAAACAACCTTGAGATGCTCCAGAGACAGGAGACCCTCCACTGGTATCTTGGCCATGGTAGAAGCTTTTACTTTAGGAACTTCAGCATTCTACTGTTTCCTTACCTACATGTTTGATGTTCAACAACGTGTTCGCAGTTTCGTTTTGCAAACAAGCCGAAAAGGGCCGAAGTTTGGGAAACTTGTTTGGCTCATGACGTCACGCGAAGCTCATCATCCACCACGTAGGTAGGTCAACAGCCGAAATCAGGGTGATGACAGTCGCTCCCTTATAATCGTCCGTAAGGAACTGTTGAATACCCGAAAGTAAAGCCGAAGCTTTCACCTTTTTTTTTTTTTTTTTTTTTTTTTTTTTTTTTTTTTTTTACCAATTTCAAATAGCCTTTGGCTAATCCCACGCTTATTACCCAGCCCCAGGTGACCACTGCCTGAGACCGTCAAACTCAGATCACCTGGCCGGGAATCGAACCCGGGACCTCTCGGTCATAGGGCCAGCATTGCAACCACTACACTGCCGTACTAAGGGAAAACGCCGTATGAACATTCGAGAGTTGCCAAATTTTCCTTGATAAAACGTGTGTTTTTTGACGACATTTATGCACGTTTACTTTGAAATTTTCAGATATTTTAGATTAAATTGCTTGTAAAATTGTCTGAAATTTTCGGAAAAAAAAGATTCACAATTTTCCTAGGAAATTCGGGTTTTATCAAATGAAATTTGGCAACGCCTGAAGGTTCATACGGCGTTCTTCCTTAGCACGGCAGTACACCACAGGAGGCCGACAAACCAAGGCCTTTCGCCAAGAGGCCAGTGGAGGGTCTCTTGTCTCCGAGATGCACCTACCTATAGTTCCACGATGCTCCTTCTTGGAGATTTCGCCGAGATACATGGGCGTGAGCGTGAAGACGAGTCCGGTGGCGAGCCCCTGGAGCACCCGCATGGCGTAGAGCATGAGCTTGGCCTTGGAGAGGAGGACGATGATCCAGGAGGCGGCGAAGAGCGGGGCGGCTAGGTGGAGGACGAACTTGCGCCCGTAGCGGTCGGCGAGGACCCCGCCGGGGATCGGCGAGAGGAGGTTGCCCAGCTCCATGATCGAGACCATCCAGGAACTCTCCTCCGCCGTCATCCGGATCCGGCCTCGGGGGTCCCGCAGCGCCCACATCACCGGCGCCGGCCAGCCCATCGCGACTCCGAAGCACGCCGAGCCGATGGACGCTACAACAAACAAGAAGAGGGTCGTTAACCCTTAGATGACTGACCGTTTTTACCTACACGAATGACTAACCCGGGCCTGCGGGTTTACGGACAGTAGGTCTACAAGAAAAACGGCTACAAAAAAAAAGGGCTACCTTTTTTGGTCTACAGTCAAAATGTCTACATGAAAATGCCTATTAAAATAATGTCTATAGTAAAATATGTATGCGGTATTAAAATGTCTACGGTTTGACTGCCTACTCCAAAAATGTCAAAGTACGTATTTATGTCGTCTAATAAGACTCTCATTTAAACTGTTGAACTGTTGAACTCACTTGAGGCTGCGGATGCTGCAGGAGCTGATACGTAAAAATTGTGAGTCGCATTTCGCGAATAATTGATCCTATAAATATAAACATGTATATTTTATATACATTTTACTTATTTTTGTATTTATTTTTTTATTTTAAACATTAAATTTATAATTTTTAGTAGCAAACATAAATATTCTGACATTTTCTAAGTGGCCAATCAAACCGTAGACATTTTAATAGCGTAGACATATTTGACTGTAGACACAATTTTAGTAGACACTTTAATGTAGACGTTTATGACTGTAGACTAAAATAGATAGCCCTTTTTTTGTAGCCCTTTTTTCTGTAGACGTACTGTCTGCATACCGGCTTGCGAGGCCCGTATTGAGAATATATGGTAATTTGATGGCTGCAATGATTTTTTCTCTCTATTTTTGGATGAATTTTATGATTTTCATACTATGACTTCTATAACCGAGGTCCCAAATTTTTTGTTTCACCCATTGGCTGGCCCACTGGCCCCTAAACATTCCTCTCCTCTCCCCAGTCCCTTCAGATCTATGATTCTTTCATTTTAAACACATTTTTATATCTTTTTTCAGGATTTAAGGAAGTTAAATTGAAGGAGTATCATTACCCCTATAAGTATACTTGAATGGACCACTAGACAAGGTACGTATTTAAGCAATCTGATACATGTTTCGTAACCAGAATTTCACGTAGAACACGATTCAAACTACGAAAATTACCGAAATCAACTTCTAACGAAGATATTAACGTTTTTATTTCGCACTGATTATGAGGAATTTGAACTGCCCGCTCACAAGAAACTCAAAGCTCTACGTGAGTCAAATCGCGCACCACAACGGTTTCAGCAAGCTTCTCAATCGAGCAATGTTCATTTTCCACCATGCGTTGTTCAAACTATTGGTAATTTGCTATAGCTGAGCCAAAGTGTCAAGATTGAAGTTGAAGATTTTTACATCGCAGAGACTGTCATGATAAACATTTAGCGCGCGATGTGAATCACGTAGAGCATCAAGTTTTCATGAGCGGGTGGTTTGAATTCACGCATCAAGAATCATTAAATATCTTCGTCAGGAGTTGATTTTGGTAATTTTCGTTGTGCGTATCGTGTTCTACGTGAAATTTTGGTTGAGAAACATGTATCAGAATGCTGAAATTCGTACCTTGTCTAGTGGTCCATTTGAGAAGGAGGGGGCATGGGCAACCTTGCCCATTCTCCCCCTTCCCCTTCCTTCCGGTAGCCAAATAAGTAGTACTTTCCGATGTGTTTCTTTCAAAGTTTTGCACGTAGAAGGTTTATTTTTTCATTTCGTGAAAAGAAAAGAAAAGTCTAGTATGTATTATTGTACTATTCCTCGATACACGATCAAATGGACGTATTTCTGTCAAACGGAACTAAGCGCCAATTTGAGTTCCTTTTGCGGAATTTAGAATGCCGGATAGCGCGTTCTGTCGAACGGAACTAAGCGCCATGGAAAAGCATTGCGAGTATAGAACGGGATTAGCCCGACGCCCTGTTCAGCCGCCAATCCAAGCTCCTCTCTACCATCCTCCCCCTATGGCGCACACTGTGGTATTTGACCGAAAAACCTGGCCAAAACCTCAATTTTAAATTTTTTTTTAGTGGAAAACCAATGTGATATTCGAAATCTACACTGTTTTTTACCCTGGTAGACATGTATGTACCATTTTTCGAGTGGCTCAATTTCCCGCGAAGAGACCACGAAGTTACCTATTTCTCAGCGATTATTTTGATATGTTTCGGCGCGCTACTCGTCGATCAGTTTACTTCAACTGTGCGATCATAGGAGGGAAGTTTGGCAATATGCAACACATTCTTAGGGGTATATTCTACACAACTAACCACAGTATTTTCGAAATTTCTTTTTTTAGTGATTTTCACAGGAGGTTGAAAAGTGATGTAAAAGTAAACGTTTTTTTCGAAATTCAGAGGCCGATATCTTTTTTCTCTCAACTGTTCTCAAGCAGTTTGAGGCGGGATGTTATAGTCCAAAGTGGGTATTTTCAGGATTCAGGGCTGACAGACTGAGGAAAACTGAGGAAATTGAAATTTTTGACTTTAAAGATGGACTTTTGAGCGATTTTCACAAAAATGAATGGGAAAAATTATGTCGATATGACGACTGAAATTGTATTTTTCCAACAGCTCTGACCCATTTAGTACCAATTGGGTGATGTTTGGTCACCCAACCTGTTTTTTTGGCCCCCACGCCCTCGAAAGAGGTATTTAAAAAAATAACTTGAAAGCGGATGGGAGGGTCACTTTAAAGTCTTGCAAAAGTGTTTAATCCGTTATCTAACAATCTCTTCGTGCATTATCCTTGAGTATAGACATATTTATGCCATGATTTACTTTGACAGACAAATTTGAGTCCATGCGGCCCCGGGGATGGGGCTTCAAAAGTGGCCCTCTGGCACTTTGAAATTACGCTGTGAGGCACATTTGAAGCCTCGTAAAAGTGAGATATGTGGTTTTCTTACAAATTTCTTAGTGAAGTGCCTCACTTTGAGATGTGGGACCATGGGTTAGGAAGGAACCCATCAAAATGAATCTTTTTCACAGGTGCTTTCTGTCCTTACAATGGTTCTTATTATGATACAACTCATTTTCATCTTATAATTTATCCTCAAATCATCATATGGAGGTCCCTGCACTTTCATATTAGGACTAACTTTGATTCAAAACTGTCAAAAATCTAATATCTAGAATGATTCATATTAATTTTTTTGAGAAATGTACAATTACTCCTTAATGTGAGAGATCGGCTGTTTTGTCAAAAATTTTGAAGTGACTTACGCTGTTTTAAAAAAAAACCATTGATGAGGTAATAGAAAGTCCTTATTTCGAAAAGTAGACCACAGGTGAAGGAGAAACTCGTCTAAATGCACCGCTTTAGTTAGATACTTTGCGTCCTTTTAAAGGCTTTTTGGAGGGCTTCTTGCACCCTCTTTAAACTCTCTGCAAATTGTCATATGATGTGTTAGGTGGTTAAATTGTGCATATTATCACTTAAGAAGAAGTACTGATTGTAAAATATTTTTAAAACTCGGCGGTATCTGGTGATAAATAGTTTTGGCCAGCTTTTCAGGTCCAATACCACAGTGTGTGGCGCTTAGTTCCGTTTGATAGAAGTACGTCCAAACGGACCACTAGACAAGGTACGAATTTCAGCATTCTGATACATGTTTCTTGTCTAAAATTGTATGTAAAACACGATGTGCTCAACGAATTTCACCGAAATCAACTCCTTCCAAAGATATTTAATGATTCTTGATGCGTGAATTCAAACCACCCGCTCATGAAAACCCAATGCTCTGCGTGATTCACATCGAGCACAATGTTATCATGACAGTCTCTGCGATGTAAAAATCTGGCAACCTCAATCTTGACGCAATGGCTCAGCTGTAGCAAACTGCTCATAGTTTGAACAACACATGGTGAGAAATGAACATTACTCGATTGAGAAGCTTGTCGAAACCGTTGTAGTGCGCGATTTGACTCAAGTAAAGCTTTAAGTTTCTTGTCAGCGGGCAGTTCAAGTTCCTCGTAACCAATGTGAAATAAAAAGGTTAATATCTTCGTTTGGAATGTCTTTCATTAGTTTTCGTTCCGCGAATCGTGCTCTACGTGAATTTCTGATTAAGTAACATGTATGAGAATGCTTAAATTCGTACCTTGTCTAGTGGTCCATTCCCGAACCAATTACCATCAAAGTGTCGGGAGTCATCAGTCTTAAAATTATTACTTTACTTTCGTGCGGCAGGAAAAGATGAATGGTGACACGCTATTCTGATTAAAATTTGACGGCCCGTCCGTTCTGATCAAAGAGGACTGTTGCATGGTGACCATCAGTCATCACCTGATCTACTTTGATCAGAATTGGTTCGGAATTTGATCGTGTATCCAGACCTTGAGCGCTGTCTCCACTCGTCAAAATGACGTCAAAATGGAAGCTCAAAGTGAATCGATTTCAACGATAAGTGGCTCAGAGTCGGGACTTGATGCGATTGATGATTGTTGCAACTCAAAATAGTGCGGCGCGATTCTTTTTTGACCAACAATCGCAAACGGATCGTATTTATCGATTCACTTTGAGCTTCTATTTTGACGCTATTTTGACGAGTGGACACAGGACAGGGCTACTCTGCGTCAACTCTGCCGCAATAGCAAAAAGAGCAGTAAGTGTTAAAGTTACGAAATCGAGTTTCCTTCAAAAGTTGTCCTATCTCTTGTAAATAAAATTGCTGAAATAGCTAAAACAGCATTTATCTCAATTGTATCAAAACGAGACATGTGAGAAATCCGTAAGTGCGCGAAAATTGACGTAGTTTCAGGCAAGACAGCAGTAAGTGACAATATTCCTCCGGAGAGCCAATGAAAACAGTGTTTCCATGTAGAGTGCCGCTCTCCTCTGCCAATTTCTAACCGAATGCCGCAATCACACGCTAAATTTATAGGAGCTGAATGTGGCTTGCATGTGCAAGTCACCGGCACGATGCCTGAATTTTGCGCGTGTCGCGCAAAATTCAGCAACGATTCTCCGCGACAATCGGATAATGTCGGATTTGTCTGAACTATTCGAATAGATTTGATACACATCTGGATGAGAATGACTCGATTTTGTGAAATTTCAGCCCTTGAGCGATGACTGATGACTTCCACATTCAGTTGCCAAATTCAGCGCGTGATTCCAGTATAGGTAAGGGTTAGAGGCTAAGTAGCAGTGATCGAGATAAGTTGCGATTTGATGGGAAAATGTATCGCGATTTTATCGACTTCGATTAATGGGTCAGTTGTGCTGGTCACAGAATCGTGTTTCGATGCTTGATTCTTGCAGATTATCCTCCGTATCCCTCTTGTCTTCTTTGTCTATAGCTTTGTCTATCAATTTCAATAATCGGGCCGCTGGGCTTTTTTCATTGGAAAATTAACTAACGGAATCACTTTCAAAGAAACGTCCCTGAGTCACCTGTATTATAGTGGCACGAAGCGGGGCGCAGCGAGCGCAAGAAAAAATAAAACGCCTTCAATTCCTTATATATGCTATGCGGATATCCTAAGAGCAGTAATAGTTGCATCCAGGCATTATATGAACAATACCGATCCACGTTGTTGGCGCCACGCCGTTTAATCGCATCTTGAGTCAATTTGTTTCTTCTGTAAACTAATCTGATTGAAACTAAGAACCTGATTTGATTAAAATTGTGATTGAGAAAGATTTAAGGATGCCCTTTAAAAAAGCACCAGAAAAAATACGGTTTTTGCAAACTTTGAGTTAAGTTCAGCAGCAGAACTTCGGAAACGGGTTCTTGAGAGGGATTCATGCAAAATTTAACTGTTCAATTACAGTTGAAGTTTTCTTAATTCGTAAAACATTGATGCTATTCTTCTCCTTCCCAGGTTAAAATGTGTGTGCGTGATTTTATACTGGTTTACCTATTGTTAACCCTGAATAAGTATGAAGATTGATCTTACCGATAAAGCCGGCTAAATACTGTCTTAATTTTCCTTTGTCTATGGCCATTTTCGAATTGAATAAATTAACAATTAAACATCATCAAGCACAAAATAATGTACAAAAAATAATTTGATAAACAATTTTAGGATTCAAAGCTGTGTCTTTTTATTTTACTTGTCCGAGAACGCGGATGAAATTCTTTACGAGGATAAAAATCCATCTTATCACTGGTACATGTCAACATATTTTCGCGCCAAAAAACTACCGTCGAAGGGGCACAATTCACATATTATGGACATTACAGCGGAAGAAAAAAATGACCGGAATACACTCGCTATTGCATTTCAAGCAGTAGCTGAAACTTCAGCACTTCTACAAAGCTAAAGAAAGTCAAACTTCAAAAGGTCTTAAAAAGTAGTCGACGAAGACAACGACAAAAGAGTTATGCCCCTGAATTTTCAATGCACCATTTCTGAATGAATTTCTGTACAAAATCGATGATCGCAATCTTTTTGAGATGGTCATAATCGCCAAGACAATTTCCAAGACACCTGATGTTGCCGAGTTGCGAGAAAAAATTGCCGTCTTCCTTTGGCTTAGATCAAAAAATAATTTGACAACAGACGACTGAGTTCAGTAACATTGAGTTACTACTTACTTAACCTGGCAATGACATTACGCCCACAGAAATTTTCGTGCTTTATCAGATTAGATGTCACTCAGGAGTCAGGTTATATAATTGGCATACTTTTTGCTAACTGTTACTAGACCTAGCCTAGGGGACATTCACTGTTTTTTTCTCAACTTGGGCACTTGCAAATTATTTGGTATAAAGTAAAGCAAACTTTGAGGTTGCACTGAAAAAACATTCTCGGCGTCTTTACCAAGGTCCGTTGGTACCTTTACCATCTCACTTTTTACCAATTACTGATAATTTTACCAATTACTGATAATTTTACCAAGACAGACTGGTAAATTTACCTAAAAACCGGTATTTTCACGGTTTTTTCTCAGGTAAGAACACCACTTTTATTGGTAATCAATTCCCGGTAACTTTGCCATTTTATCTCGGTAATTCTGCCACAGTCGATAAAAAATATTGACGTTTTTACCAAGGTCCAGTAAAATTACCCAGAAAATTCAATAATTTTACCGAGATTTCTCGGTAAAATTACCAATTCCATAAATGGTAATTTTACCAAGAAGAAAACTGGGATCAAATAGAACCCTGAATTCTTGGTAATTTTACCCTTTTCTTAGTAAATACACCGAGATTTTTTTTTTCAGTGTGGTTTTTTTCTGTGCATAATTTTAGAGTTGGTCTGTCGAGATGAAAAGTACGCATTATAGATATGAAATTTCATTGGAGCGTCCCTTCTGAGTATCAGCACCCAGTAAAATCAGCAATCAGCAAAGTCAAAAGCTCCCGCCCATCCAGGGGCTGATTATTGTAATCTAATAGACACATAGACAAAGCGATAGACAAAGAAGACCGAGAAAAAATGGAGCGATCCTATATTCTGCCGTGCTAAGGAAAAACGCCGCATGAACATTCAAGAGTTGCCAAATTGCCACCAATAAAATGTTTAATTTGATATTTTGTCCTTGACATTTTCAGATATTTTAGATTAAACTGCAAACAATATTGTCTGAAATATAGGAAGAAAAATATTCATAACTTTCTCGATAAATTCGTACTCCATCAAAAGAAACTTGGCAACGCTTGAAGGCTCATACGGCGTTCTTCCTCAGCACGGAAGTATTGCTAGAATTGCTAGAAATTGTGAGTGTAGTTCGTATGAAAAATGAATGGGCCATCTCTAATGGGGAATATATTAGAAACCTGGACAGTTTGATACGATTGTTTTGTTTATAGGTCATGCTCATAATTATCACTGACTAAAAAAAGCAGTTTGAAACGTGGAAAAAATCTACTTCGAGCCATTTATTCACAAAAATGTATTCCAAAATTCAATGCAATTCATTTCAATACAGGTGAACAGGAGAAAGGGCCTTGATCTTGATCACGGCCTTAGACACGGAAAGAAAAATGATCTCGGTGTCTAAATCCTTGGGCATATATATAACTTCTTCTTTACACACCGTGTGTGATTTAGATAACATGTTACCACAGAAGTTAGTGATCGTTTTCAAATCACGCTACTGAGTCTAAAATTTCTGAAAAATCTTATAAACTTACAATAGAGAATGGTTCGCGTGCTTAACTTTAGAAGCTTACAATGAGAAACAAGTAACTACAGGACAACCTTTAGAGTTTGCACTACAGTGGGACCGTTTTCAAGTTGGACCACATTCAGCAATTAGGAACTACAATTCAGGCTGATGCATACAAGCACTGACCTGCATAGGTAAGTAAACTTAAAGTACATATCGACGGTGAAACTGCAAAAATAAGTATTTCGGTTGCGGTGTTTCAAAACCTCGGCGCCTATTTTATCTTTTATAAAGAGACCAAACCAACGTCATGCCTTGAAGTTTCCCCAGAATATTCTTTCTGAAGAGAAAAAAAAAATCACTGCAATTTTAAAAAAATTACGTCGAGTAGTTTTCCATGTAGAAAATGAAGTAGGTATGACAAGAAGTCTGCAACGCCGAAAACCGAGATAGGCATTTCTACAGTTTCACCATCGATGTGCTGTTTCTAAAATGAGCCAGAGGTTGTGGTTTCCAATTGCCAAATACAGTTAAATTTTTCCCACATTTGATGCTTTTAATCATTGCCTTCTTCATTAGAGTGTGGAGTCACTGTGCGTCGCGTCGCGTCGCGTCGCATCGCTGAGATAAGATAGGAGAAAACGGAAATAGGCATTGATAGGTTTGTCGTCCCAAGTGCAAACAATATGCCAGATAATGAGGATCCCAATGGGTGTGAGGTTTCATGTGTAGGAAGGATGCAATGATCAGGTATGTACATGCTATGTAAAACAATTGGTAAGACGCACGTCATGGGTATGATAAAATACAACTCTCGGTCATAGACTTGTAACGTTGCGTATGGTTTTTGTACCATACAAACGTCACGAATATGGCTACTCAAACGCCGAAACTTCTTCCGCACATACTACCTCCCTTGTGCAGTTGATTGTAGTGTTATCATCTGGTGGTCATTTTCCGTTACTCTTTTGCACTATTAAGTTTAACGTCCTGTTAGTTTGCTTAAATTTATTTTCGAAATTAGTCTTTTTAGCTTGTGTTTATTTCTGTAAGAAAATTTTCAAGGTAAGGGATTTAAATTGAGGCATTTATTAATTTTTGTATGAGTGCATGACTTTAACTGTAACGTTCAGATACTTGAATGAGATGAGAAAGTCTCCCATTGCAGTCATTCCAAAAGCATGTAAAGTTTCCAAAATAATGCCTTGATTTTTAGTTACAGTATTTTCCGAGATTCATATTTTTTTGAAAATTATCATGAACGCTGCTGTTATTTGTGCCTAAAATTTTGAGTTGAATTTTGCAATCCATATGGGACCTAATTCTATCCAGTCAGGTCAATCATTGATAACGACCATGAGTGTAAGAAAGCATTGAATATTTGTACCGTATTTCAGAATACTAACGGTTTTTTTGACATTTTGTGACGGTTTTGTGTATATTTTGTGATCGATTTTTATTTTAATTTTTATAGGGGTTGTAGGATTTAGATTTCTGATTCACGAGTCTATTCCTATTTACTTTCCCAAACGTTTTCGAATCCATTTACCTCTCTTTACATGGGTCTATCATATTCAAAAATTGCACTGGAAAATAAATTGAACGCATTTCTGCCAAACGGATCTACGTGCATTAAGACATGAGCCCTGAGACCCATGAGAATAAATACCTAACAGGGCTCACGTTATAATGCACATAGTTCCATTTGACAGAAACGTCCCATTTTCCATTCTACCGTGTTAAGGGAGAACATCAGTGGCATGGCATGTGCTTTGCGATATATCTATTGATCCATCATTTAAATCTATGGAGAAGGATCGATAAACAGGGTGTTCGCAACGAACATTTTGATACTCGATTTCCACAGATTCAAATGAGGAAATATCGATAGTCAATCACTCATGCCTCCCCACCCAAGTAGCAGAGGTTGCATCAACTTGCAACAAAATCGTTTGATTCTTGCAACAAATGGATTAATGTGCACATTGCCTACTCCCCCCCCCGAAGGAGCTATCATTGTTGGAACTAGTTGCAATTAAGTTGAAACTTGTTTCAACTTCAAAGTATTGCTGGTTGCCTATCTTTAGATTTTAAACAACTTCGGTTCAGCAATTTTGCAATCTCAGCAGGTTGCAACTTTGTCTTCCGATCAGATCGCCGAAAATCGGCACTTATCGACCAAAAGTTGACCGAAAGTTGAAACTTTGTTGCAACTAATACCAACATTGTTTCAACTTGTTGCAACTTTTACATTGAAAAATGCTACTTGGGCACTGGAGAACAAGTAGTAAAAAAAGGGAACGCTGCCAACTTTGTGACCTGCAGCTAACAACCTTGCGAACCATGACGTCACTGCCCGGGACTATTTGAACTGTATTTGCGATTCGGAACTACAGTTGGACTGCATTTCGCAATTTGGACCTATACATTCTGACTCATATGAAAAACGCTTATGTGCATAGAGAAACTAATGGCACATACGTTGTCTTTAAGCCGGGACGGAACTTGTAGTTCCTAATTGCAAAATGTAGTCCAATTTTTGGTTCATCTGTAGAAACGCTTATGTGCATAGGGAAACTAATGGCACATACGTTGTTTCTAAACAGAGCCAGAAACTACAGCTCCTAATCGCAAAATGCAGTACATTGGTAACGGCTTCCGAGCCGGGTCAACACTTCAGTTGATCCCTGGGAATTTGCAACTTTCCCCCTATATTTTCAGAAAAAAATTGGCATTTTCTACGGAAGTCCTGTTGGGAACTCATGAAATCCCCATGAGTCCTGAAAACTTTGCTACCTGTGACGTCACTGCCGGAAACATTCATAACGGAATGCGCCCCGGTCGAATCCTGGGTAATTTGCGACCTATCTTTTGCATCTCATTTTGCCATTGTCATGTTTTTAGGAACAAAGTAATAATTTTCTTCGAAACATCGTTTGACATTCAAAACTGATATTCAACAAGTATTTCAAGAGGATTTTGCTGTGGGCAGAGGCGATTTTGAAAGTCGACAATACTGTTGACCTTCCACTTAAATCGATAAATGAATAATTGATAATCGATGATCAATTGTAAATATCGATTATTTTATAAACACGAGTATTTAAATGGGTAGGTGATGAAATTTTCTATTTGTAAAGACAATTTCTACAGATGTTGTTGCATATTTAATTTTTTCTTTAGCTGTCCAGTTATTAATTTTGTTTAAATTAATTTGAACATTTTGACGCGCCTCTCTAGCTCTTGCACGAGTCCATCACGAGCGTATCGTCGGCATAGATTCCCATCTTCCCCTCCTCTTTGGGCTATGGGATGTCCGCTGTAAAGAGAGAATAGAGAAGAGGGGAGAGACTATTTCCTAGGTGAAAAATGTCATTATTAACGTTTTACATGATTTTCAACCATCTATAAACCACTTTTTTGCAGTTAGGGATAGATACAGTAGCCCACCTGCTCATGGCGCTCCATGAAATTTTAGACCCGTGTGGTGGAGAGTAGGTGGGTTCAGAAAAACCCACTTTTATAGAATTATAATGAATCAAATTAAAAAATCTATAGCGCGTTTAGAAAGCTACTAAGAGTAGTGGCTGTTTACGAATTTTCTGTATATATCTTAGTCTAGGATATACTGAATAGGTAAACTTAAATTCTGTACAACCCTCGTATAATGACGGGAATTCTGCAGCGTCGCAAATCGAGATACGCGCTTTTGCAGTTTCAACGTGAAATGGAGCATGCCCTTCAGAGAATACTCCATCGAGATGAGTATACTGTAACTGTTTAAGTCTCTTAATGGACCACTAGACAGGGTACGAATTTCAGCATTATGATACACGTGTTTCGTAACTAAAATTTCACGTAAAACACGATGCGCACAACAAAAATTACCGCAATTAACTCCTTACGAAGATATTTAATGATTCTTGATGCGTGAATTCAAACCACCCGCTCATGAAAACTTGATGCTCTACGTGATTCACATCGTGCGCTAAACGTTATCATGACAGTCTCTGCGATATAAAAATCTGGCAACCTCAATCTTGACGCTTTGGCTCAGCTATAGCAAATTGCTGATAGTTTGAACAACACATGGTGGAAAATGAACATTGCTCGATTGAGGAGCTTGCTGAAGCCGTTGTAGTGCGCGATTTGACTCACGTAGAGTGTTGAGTTTCTTGTTAGCGGGCAGTTCAAATTCCTCGTAACCAATGTGAAATAAAAACGTTAATATCTTCGTTAGGAGTTGGCTTTAGTAATTTTCGTTGTGTGAATCGTGTTATACGTGAAGTTCTGGTTAAGGAACATGTATCAGATTGCTTAAATTCGTACCTTGTCTGGTGGTCCATTCCTCAATATTCACTGCTCTAAACATTTTTCTAAACATTTTGTGTTGCAGAGGTGCCACAAACTAACTTAAAGATGGAGGGAAAATCCTTTGATCAAGAGACGTATTTATCTTACAAACGGGCTCTGGACGATCCACAATTTGAATTCGTTGATCTGTTGGACTATGACGACAGCGCGTATGGTTACCTCAAAGATCACCACTCTTTCAAACCGGAAGACTACTTGAAGCTACTGATTAGCCGTGCTATGATTGATAGCACCACACCTGTTCAGTTCCACAAAGAAATGAAAGAAATAATTGATCTGCGCGAAGAGGCTAGACCATTTAATCCATTTGATCTCTCTTATCCTGATTTTTCAAGATTCCGGCAACTGGCGGACAAATATGGTGTCAAAATAGACATAGATGAACCTGGTGCATTGATCACGAATGACATCATCGATTTTTTGTTTCCGCATTATTACCTGGAGGCTATAGATAGGAAGGAAGACCACAGCAACGCCGAGTCTGATAAGTTTCGCGAAATCATGACATATCTTGAATTCGCGGCTATCATTCCTAGAGGACGGATCCTCATGGAGACTGTCAGGACTGCTATAGTAACTATGCACATTTGCGTTTTGTACGAATATCAAACGGGAGAAGAAGAAATTATTCCTATGCCAGTCCTCCAAAAAATAGTGAGACACCGAATTAATATCGGTTTACTATCAGATGAGAGACGAGTGCGATTCTTGATCACGAAGCAATTCATTACACCTGATCTACATTTATCTTTTGCATTTAAGAAAGAGTACGATAAATTACAGGAATCTAGTCCTGAGCTGATCAGCCTGATCAGTGAGCGTCTCATGTGATGGATGCTCCGTTTTAATTGTGAATAAATGTCGAAAATATGTTTGTAAACAATTGTTGCAATTTTATCGGAACTTAGCATTAATGTTGATAATTTTTTTATCATTTTTTGAAAAAATACAAAAAGGTTCATGCAGAAAATTCTTTAGTTCATTTATAATGTTTGATGTCTCGTTAAGACGACGCGAGTAGAATGTATTCTTAGATCATAACAATCATACGATAATGCCATGCGCGCACAAATACTAACCTAAGTCTTGAAAAGGCATTAATTCACCTTATGGTTTTTATTTAGTATACAGGATGTACGGAAGTTAACGTACGTAACTTTCAGGTTCGATTTTTCGGCTCAAAAACTGACTTCTTCCCATGCGTTATGCCCGAGAACGCCTCATGGGTGAGCTATGCGCTTCCAAAGTAGCCATTTTGTTTCATTCAAACTGATGTAACTCTTCGTTATTTTGTCGTAAGTAGCTGAAAATGGGCCTGTTGCAAACTTTAGCTAGAGCAAAAATAAGAGTTTTAAGCGTGCCAGTAGGGCTCGCTTTTTGAAATCACTCGGATGTACCATAGTACAGCACACCGATCAACCAATGCTATTCAACGGGCCGTCCAAATATTTTTTTCCTCGGACCCGTTTTCTTGTCTTTGAACCATTATACTGTCAAGCCCTGATGGTCTCTTACCAAAAAACCGAAAGAACTGCTAATTGGGAACCCTTGAGAACATTTTCCTGTCAAAACCGTATTATTTCATTTGACAAAAACCTCATAGAAGCTTTCTTACGCTCGGAGGACTCAACTCTAGAACCTTCTTTCCCGCCAAAACTGTTTAGCCAATGAGCGTCTTGCACTGCAAGTGCAATCTGTGATGAGCCTCGTGACTCTTTATACCATGTACTAACCGTGGCCCCTGCAGAAATCCACTCAAACCACTGCAGTTATCTCCCGATATAGCTTTGGGTGTCAGGTTTCGAGCAAGGCAATAAAAGACGGCGAGGAGAGGGTCGCCTCATCGAACCTATTATCTTCCACGCCCGATTAACCATTCACCGTGACGCCAGGATCCACCAAATTTTCACAAAAATTGTTTTCCGTCTATTTAGCGAGTTTTTCCTTACTTTCCGTTAAAGTACAAATAAAAAGAGACCTCATTTGTAAAAATCGGCCGAATAGGAGAGAAGTTACAGTTCGAAATCCAAAGAGATTAACTCAACGCGATTTCGATGCACGGCAGTTCGCCCAAATCACGGTCGTGCGAAATGCCGCATATCAGCTTAAAATCAAGATAATTGGACGGAATCTTTAAAATCAATTTACATTCAACGTTCATGAATCAATATTTTCTCCCAAATTTAGCAAAAAGTACCAATTGATGCAAATAACAAAGACGTGAAAATAGTAGGTATGTGTCCAACATTTTAGTTATTCGGCACGCTTTTCCAACATATTCATGTTGGATTTTTCTGCTTGTTTTTTTTTTTTTTTTTAGGAGCTTATCGCGCCCTCTTTAGAGTCTTTGGCCTTAGTTTTTCAACAAACAGCCACTGCACTGAGACACTTTATTAACACAAAATTTGGTTGTTTAAAATGTGCGATTCCAACGCTTGGTAGAGTTCCAGATTAGTTTTGTTCAGGATAAATTTTGAGTCGTTTCCTATAGACGATTTTAGTGGTGACGTCACGGAGCGATATTGGTGGTTCGATATCTCGAAAGTCGAAATGTGCCCCAACATACAAACATAACCTCCAAAATGAACAATTGACGAAATAATGCTAATACTAGCCTGAAACCAAACAATTAATCCATGAGACTTTAAAATTATGAAAGCTACTCATTTACCAAAACGTTTGAGATCACAATCACAAGAATTGATTGTAAAATAAACTCGTAACATCATAGACAGTCATCGAGCGAATTCCCCTACCCCCCCTGCCTATATCCCGCAGATTTCTCCATGTTCGTTTGTTGGGGCACGTTTCGACTTTCGAGGTATCGAAATTATAACGAGATGTGACGTCACACTAAATTCGTCTATAGAAAATGCCTCAAAAATCACCATAGGCGCATCGGCAAAGTTTGAAATGGACTCGTAAGTTCACAATCTGCGTAAGAAATTTGCGTTTTTGTTTATGCTTCCCGCTTCAAAAATAAAAAAAAACCCGAGTTGGTGTGTTTTCGAACTCACTGATTCGTATAATGAAGTCAATCAAAAGTGGTGTAAGAGGGAAACGGATAATAATCTCATTTAATCGTGGTTTCAGGACCCAGGGTTTTGTGCAGTGGTAATTTTGCGAGTTGGCAACGGTTTTTTCCTCAATTTAAATCCATTAAATATATCGATTTCGGGCGAGGCAAGCTGCCTCTCCATCAAGAATCGATAGTTTTACATTCTAAATGGAGAAAAATGGCGTTGCTAAATTTCAAGAATCACCACTGGTTTTGAGAAACTTTTAGATTTTTCATCAAGGAGGTCAGACGAGTGACACAACAAAAAAAAACAAAAAAAAAAGCAGCACAACAAAAAATAATAAAAAAAATAAAAAAACAAAAAATGCAGCAAAATCAGCGGAGCGTACTTTTCCCATAAGGCGGTGTCGTCATCCTGAAATCGGAAGTTGTGAAATATCTATGATGCTGTATTCTTCTTTTTTTTCCACCGGCGTTTTGCCTGCATGAAAACTTTGATCTTTGAGAGGAAGTTGACTTTCATGTTCAAAAATTTTTTGAAAAAAAAAACAACATTGATAAGATTAAATTTGTAATTTCCTCATATTGCCTTCTCGGAGTGTGATGTTTAGATTCGTTGCTTCCTTCAAATTTTCAAAACCTCACAAACGTAGGGAAAGTTCAACGGTGACAACTGTATATCATCGCTCCTTAAAACGCTTTCAATTTTTAGTTGAGGCAATCTACTCATTTTTGCATCAAGAATGAGTTAATTATTGCAAGTTCGCCAGAGGGGCACCAAATGTAATCAATTTTTAGCCAATAAAAAGAGGCTTGGAGTTATATACTATTTTATATGACTCAATTTTTGAGATATTGTATATATTACAGTATTACTTTTACTGCGTGGCTTTGCGCTCTAGGACATAATTCTCCCAATTGTCGTCTTCGTCTTCTTCTTCTTCTTCTGTGAATGAATGGGGCATACCCCTGTCGTCAAGCAATATAGTATTCAGCGCATTAACTTACATGAGTATTATAAAATCTAAAAATCGTTAAAAATAATCGACTCGTCAAATCGATAAAAAACAGGGATAAAATTTTCAATCATCGCCAGAAGAAGAGAGCCAATAATTGTCGTTGCCGTCTGTCAGGCAGTTGATACCTGCTAATCTCCTCTTTCACTCCCTGTCGCCAACTACTGGAGGTACTCACAATAAAGTAAACCTAAAACAAGGCGAAACTTTATGTAACATAAATTGTATTTTATGAAAAGTGAAACAAATGCATCAACAATGAATTGGTAAATGAAGTTTTCTACACTTGTTCCTTAACAGAGGTAATGCTTAAAATGACACAAAATATACAGGAGATTAAACCACAAAAATAAATATCTGAGTTAAGAAAAAAATAAATTATTTAATACCAAAGCATCAAATTGAATACGAGAGTAAATCGAAATTGAAATAATTGCATTTTGATCGTACATTATGTTCGCAAACCATAAAGCTCGAATATGTAACTTTCTGGAGAAACAGTTTTGGATACCAGTCAAGCATCTGACAAAATCGTGTTCTGGTGACTAAATCTGGCAGATTAGCAAGACATCATAAATTTTTCCGGGCAAAAAGTCTCTGCGTCAAACAATATGAGCGGAGGTACTATCTTTTGTAAAAAAGACAGTTGATGACACTATAAATCGGGTTGGTGCCGAAAATGGCTGCTTCCACTCATGAACCAAATGTGTATTAATTGGTTCATCTGCATTAGTAGTATACTCAAAGAGGAAGAAACCTTGGTATAAGTTAATACAATTCTACGCAGGGTCAAGTTGTTTAAAGGGAACTATTTCCATTGATATTGTGCGGGTATAGAATTTTGACTTTTGACTGGATCTTTGTATCTCTTTTAAGAAAAATAAAATGTCAGTACGATATAAAAAACATTTTTTATGAAAATAAATATTTTTAAAAAACATCCCTCGTGTTAAATTCTTGCTGGATCCAGAATTTGGACATTGGCCTCTTAAAAAAATTAATGATATGCTAACAAAATCACACCCAGAGGAAAACGCTTTGTCCTTTCACTCATATAAATACGCAGATGTTTTAAAGTATACTTGCCGAATTAATTTAACTATCTATTCAAATAAATTAAAAGTCGGAAACCGTAAGCTTTTTTTTTATTAAAATCAAAAAGTTCCCAATTCAAAACACTGAGAATCAATCATTAATACTTACAAAAATTTTAAATCAACATAATAATTATATAGCATATTAAGTAATGCCAATTATGTACATTGTGAACGGGGCAAAAGCTCTTCCAGGTTTTGTGACAGAGAGCTTAAAATCACATAAAAATAACAGTTTTAAGATTAAGTTACACCGAGTTATACATGTATTTTTTTTTCTTCTTAAAGAAGGAAGAAAGTAGTCAGCCAGTTACTTCGTGTAAATTCAGTACGGAGGAAGTGTTTAGTTCAGAAAATTACACTTTATACTGTGGCTTTTTTAAGGGTAATTTTTTCTCTTTCTAAAAAGAGAGAGAAAAAAAAACATTGCATTGCCTTAAGGGAACAAAATAAAATAGAGAAAAGAATAGAAGAAGAGGGAGAAGAATAGAAAGAATAGAAGAATTGAAGAATTGCCAATAGAGGGAACTTCGACGTAAAGTGATGTCAAGCTATCATGATTGAGCAGGTCAGTTAATAAACCTCTTACTTCAAGAGGGACAATGAAAATTCAAATAATTTTAGCCAACTTCTTGAAAGGCCCTGTATCAAGTGCCTAAGTTCCTGCCAAACTGTCATAGTTCGGATTTTCCGAGACGTGAAAGATTTATAAAAATAAATTTACCTAAACTTACAAACCTAAAATATATAAATTATTACAAATCTAATGGTAGTTGGTTGCGGTTTTTGTTTTATTTTTAAACTATTAGAAATAATCTTGAAATTGAGAAATACAAATTGCACTGAATTCCACTTAATTAAATGAGGATGGGAATGATCCTCTCATTCCATGAAGTTCGACTTGTTAGATTATATCCAAATGATTTGGTTAATCTCTAATTCAATTTTGACAAGGTGAGGAAATAAGTTAGAGCCTTTCAGTAAAAAACATATCCCCCTTTTTTCACCCTTGTGATTTGCAAAGAGGACGTTCGTAGAAGAACATAACTGAAAAATACATGAACGCATCTGTGAAATAGTGCAGTCACTGCGAGGTTTATTGCATATTCCGTTCATTGAAGGAATTTTATGAGACCAGAAGACAGGCCGAAATATGGAGCACAGATAAGTGATGTGAAGTCAGTGGCGTGGCGTGAACTGCGATGTATCGATTGTTATGCCATTTGAACCTATGGTAAAGAATCGATTATTAAGGTGTTCGCTGCGAACACCCTGTTTATCGATCCTTTTCCATAGGTTTAAATGGCATAGCAATCGATAAATCGCAATTCACGCCACGCCACTGGTGAAGCTGCCCAAATACTTACGTCGAGTTTTTTCTTTCTTTTTTAAAGGAAGTAGCTTAAGCGGAGGTAGTATTTTTGTTTACTTACAAGAGGTTCGGTTAGTAAGTAATCGTAGAAACTTCCCAGATTTGCTAAATAATCTCGCTAATTTGTTTATGACCTAACCTACCTTTACAGCCAAACCGATGATTACTTTAAATTACAAATCATAACATGAACTAGATATTTTATCAAAACTTAGCAGGATGAACCCTTAATTTTAATTTGAAAAAGTGAGGGCAGACGTACCCTAAATACAAAATATTTAATCCAAAACGTGGATCATAATTAGTTACTTGGTCAGATCATTCAATTCGAATCAGAGTGAATTCGTTCAAATTTAATGCACATAAATAGATTTTAACTTACGGTATGAAGAGAAAGGTACTACTGATCAACGGCTGTTTTCACAAGATTATTCTCAAACACGTCAAAAATAACGTCATGTGTATGATCTAACATCCATTAAATCTGTGATGGAGTTGCTTGCTAATACCTCGTTCAGAGGTTGATCTCTGAATTTCACGTGTTGTTAATCGCTTTCTATATATGATTTTGAAAAGAAAACGTAAGAATTTTCATCCAATTCAGACTTCGTCTAGTAGCTCATTGGAGACACACATTTTTCGACTTCAGCCATTGCTTTACACCAGTGGCGATTTGTGGAAATCGGCAACACTAATTTTCTTTCATTTAAAAGTACACTGAAAAAAAATTCACGAGCTATACAGAAATACCGTCAGCTCTGGGCTCACAGGCCGAAAGTTCCGGGTGCTGGAGTCGTAACTTCGATCGCTCCGGGTGCTGTGCCCGGAACTTTCCGCCTCTGAGCCCGGAACGCGGACGGCACGTCTATATAGACCGTAAATACGGCTTCCGTGGCCGGAGTTTTTTTCAGTGTACGTATAACAATCCATTCTTGGCGAGACAGCGGATAGATATTTTATGGATTTTAATGGAAGAAAAATAGTGTTGTCAGCTTGCAAAATCGCCACTGCTTTATACTGCCGCGCTGAGGAAGAACGCCGTATGAACATTCGAGAGTTGCCTAATCTCCCCGAATAAAACATGTATTTTTGAAGAAAGTTGTGCATACTTTTCCGAGAAATTTTCAGATATTTCAGATTGAAAAGCAAACAAAATGGTCTGAAAAATTGGAGGAAAACTATTCAAAATTTTCCTGGGAACCGTTTTTTATTGAGGGAAATATGGCAAAGCCTGAATGCTCATACGGCGTTTTTCCTTAGCACGGCCGTATACTCTGGAAAGCCAGTAGTAGACAGGCTTAAAGGTACTTTTCGTCTTGATGGCGACTGTTGAACGTGACTTAACCCTTCTTAAACTTGATTAGAAGGCTACTGAAGTTGGGAAGATGACCATCCACTTAAGAGTAGGTACTTTTCGTCTTGATTGCGACTCCGGTCGAAGGTGATTTAACCCTTCTTAAACTTGATTAGAAGGCTACTGAAGTTGGGAAGATGACTATCCACTTGAGAGTAGGTACTTTTGCCTTGATTGCGACTCCGGTCGAAGGTGATTTAACCCTTCTTAAACTTGATTAGAAGGCTACTGAAGTTGGGAAGATGACTATCCACTTGAGAGTAGGTACTTTTGCCTTGATTGCGACTCCGGTCGAAGGTGATTTAACCCTTCTTAAACTTGATTAGAAGGATGCTGGAGGTTAGGAAGATGACTATCCACACAAGCGTAGAGAAGAAGCCGAAGTAAACGGTCGGTTTCGTGATTTCCCAGCCTCGAGCGAGGATGCACCGCAACGACTCCGTCGAGAGAGTGAGGGGTAGTACGAAACTGATCGCTTTTACGATCGTGTGCATTCCCTCCACCGGCCAGATGATACCTGAACAGAGAAGATGAGAATAGTTTAATCGAATCGTTAGGATCCACACTTCCAAAATAAAAGATCTGCGGGCTGATCACCACTGGAAAAAAAAAAAACACATCGGATATAGAGTCCAGACTCTTGAAAACGTTGACATGAAAAAGGACTCTTGATTCAATCAGATTTAAGCTTGAATCAAAAGGAGATCCGCTCAAATTGGACGTTTATCTATCAAACGGAACTATGTGCATTATGACGTGAGCCCTGTTATGCACATACTCCTATGGGTCTCAGGGCTCACGTCATAATGCACATAGTTCCGTTTGATAGAAATACGTCCAATTTGAGCGGATCTCCTTTTGATTCAAGCTTAAATCTGATTGAATCAAGAGTATTTTTTCTTGTCGATGTTTTTAAGAGTATGGACTCTAGATCCAATGTGTTTTTTTTTCCAGTGATCGAAATGAATAGACAAAACGTTGACAAAAACGACGAGGAGAAAATGGAGATATCGTATTCGTTCGATCAAACAGCGGGCCGATTATTGAAATTGATAGACAAAGCTATACACAAAGAAGACAGAAGGGATATGGAGGGATCCTGTTGGTGGAAGCGGGTGGTCGCAATGGACACTGGAAAAAAAAGTCGCTTGGATCTAGAGTCCAGACTCTTAATTTAAGCGGATTTCCTTTTGATTCAAGCAAAAATCCGATTGAATCAAAAGTATTTTTTCTTGTCATTGTTTGCAAGAGTCTGGACTCTAAATCCAAGCTACTTTTTTACCAGTGGACAACGGAGGTAGGTAATAGACTAACTAACGGCAACCCACGCGAGAACCGATAGTTAAGTCCATCATTTTCACCCTTAGTCTATAGGAGCCATCCTTTTCAACCAATAGGATAGCTTCATAGTCCCTATGTCTTCTTTGTCTATCGCTTTGTCCATCAATATCAATAATCAGCCCGTAGGTGAGATTGTATCGATATCGATTGGTTCAACATGTAAACGTACCCTCAAAAGTCAATTGAGTAATCTGAAGGCAAGGTAAGTGAAACCTAAGTATCCTCTTCCCGACCCATTTGGCCGTCGGCTCCCGTCGGTAGAACAGTGGCGCGACATTTGAATTTCAACAACTTTGCAGTCTTGGCCGAAAACAAATAAGGACCGTCTGCCGTTGATTTAAAAAAAAAAAAAAAAAAAAAAAAAAAAAAAAAAAAAAAAAAAACCTAGCCACAATATTTAAAGCAGATGAAATTTGTGATTTTAATGATTTATGTTAAAATTTTCCATACTTTCCAATTTTGATCAAATAATTTAAATATAAATAAAATAAATATCCCCTCAGTCCCTCAAGGGAGACCGAGGAGCCCTTGACACGATAAAATTCGGATTCCTTGGGGTCGATTCCCTATTCGTTCTTACGGTCCCCCATTGGCAGATCCAGCGAATTGGCAACATTGTTTTTCTCCATTTAAACCAATGGAAATGTATCGATTCTTGGAGGGGCCTGCGGGCCGATTATTGAAACTGATAGACAAAGCGATAGACAAAGAAGACAAAAGGGAGTATAGAGCGATCCTATTGGTTGACATGGTTGGTTCTTATAGACTAAGGAAGAAAATGATGGACTAACCGTCGGGTCTTTGGTGGGTTGCCGTTAGTCAGTCCATTACCTACCTCCTATGTCCATTGCCACCACCCGCTTCCACCAATAGGATCCCTCCAAATCACTTTTGTCGTCTTTGTCTATAGCTTTGTCTATCAGTTTCAATAATCAGCCCGCAGGTGCCCGATAAGAATCGATTATTTGACGTAGGTTTAAATGGAGGGAATCCAGTGCTGCCAAATTGCTGGATCCGCCTTTGCGGTTCCCGACCTCGTCTAACTTGTAATAACAGAGGAAAAAGCCTAGTGCGGATCGTCTGGATCTGGAGCACCCTGTGTCATACTAATTTTGATGTAATAGATTGATAATTACCACACAGCATGACGATCGGCAGGAAACTGCCCATGGCTAGATACGTTGCGTTTCGCTCACTGTCCGTTATGCAAGAAACGAAAAATCCTGAAAACAAAAAGTGTCAATGTTTAAAAGATCAGTCAGACAAGCTTTGTGACGAAGAGTATGGATTTTAAGGGGAAAAGTTTATACACTGGAAAAAAAAACACATTGGATCTAGAGTGCAGACTCTTGAAAACATTGACAAGAAAAAATACTCTTGATTCAATCAGACTTTTGCTTAAATCAAAAGGAAATCCGCTCAAATTAAGAGGCTTGGTTCTTGATTTAAGCAAAAATCCGATTGAATCAAGAGTATTTTTTTTTGCCGATGTTTTTAAGAGTCTGGACTCTAGATCCAATATTTTTTTTTCCAGTGTAATGTAGATCTTATGCATCCGAAATTCAAGACGTTAATGATAAGATACCCGTACCCGTAATAGAACATTTTGCCAGTCTTGAACTGCGCATAGTGAAAGCTCTGTGCTGCCGCGCTAAGGAAAAACGCCGCATGAACATTCGAGAGTTGCCAAACCACCCTTTTAAAATATTAATTTTTGAGGCAAATAATGAATATTTCCACGTGAAATGCTCTGATATTTTAGATCACATTGCGAAGAAAATTCTCTGGAAAATAGTCACAAGTTTTCCTGAAAATTCGTATTTTACCACAAGAAATTTGGCAACGGACGAAGGTTCATACGGTTTTCTTCCTTAGAACGGCTGTGTAGCAGACACTCTGAAATCGCCAACACTCACTTTCAACGGCACTTTTTTGGGTCCAGAGGAATTCCACATGCCTTTGCTTGGACAATTTCTCTGAATAGCGGACATATTTCTATTACTGACGATTCTACCGGTCTCGACAGAGTGTAGGTTTCCATTTTTATTATTTCCTTTTTAATACTTTTTTTTATTTTTCATTAGACCAATAAAGATACACTTCCTCTGCTTAATGGCGTTCATTCGTGTTTTCAACATTTTTCAGGACATGAGCGGGTATCGGGCCTTTAATTGCGTGCCTGATGCACACAAAAAGCAAAGCGCCTTCAATTATACCCTCACGCAATACGCACATCGATCGAGTGCCAATAGTTGCATCCACGCCTTAGGTACTGTGAACAAATCGGTGTATGTGAACCAAACTTGCGCCTAATGTGATAAACCCTAGGAAATAGGCCCTAAAATTAGTCCAGGGAAGACAAGAGTATTCGATCACGCTCGAGATTTGTCATCAGTCGATAATCTAAATATTTTCCTCTTAAGGTGACTCGTCAAGCTCAAGTTACGTGGTCGAACTGGCAATATATATATCGCATCGATTATAGGTGAAAAATCTTGGCAGATTTTGAATTTTTAGCAAAAAAAAAGGATGATAGCCCCTGCGCATAAGCCCGAAGAATCATTCTAAACCCAAAAATCGACAAAATTAAAAGTAATTAAAGCAGAATAGTGCTAGGAAAAAAACTTCGCATTCGATACAAAAATCGATAGTTGTATCGAATGCGAGGTTTTTTTCCTAACACTATTCTGCTTTCATTTCTCCGAACTTTACCGATTTTGGGGTTTAGAATGATTCTTCAGACTTATGAGCAGGGGCTGTCGTCCCTCTCTTGGCTAAGGATTCAAAATATGCCGAGGTTTTTCACCTAATTGATGCGATATGTCGCATGCCCATTCGACCACGTCTTTTATTGAGCTTTACGAATCACCTTAAGAGATAATTGATTTCCAAAAATGTCAAATTTTAATACTTTGCTCACTGCCATATACTTCCCTATTGTATGCGCTTTAGAGGTCCGCGCTTTGTCGAAGGGTGTTCGCTCCCCCCCTCCCTCCCTCCCAAATAAAATAGTGCAACATACCGAAACACATTCCGCAAAGACCGGTCAAGATGGTGAGGAGGGCGACCCAGGCGACGGAGCCGTGGTTGGTCACCTCGAAAACGATGAGAGCGAACACTATGACCATGATTGACTGGAACAACATGATCGCGAACTGACAGATCACATGACCCATCAAAATCTCGATCCCTGTGATACCTGCACAAAATCAAAGCGGGAGTCTTTCAGGCATGAAATTTGCGATGGACACAGGTACAGAGAAACAGGAGATACTGATATAGATACAGGAGATACTGCGACAGGTACAGGAGATACTGCTATAGATACAAGAGATATTGGTATCGATACAGGATATGCAGTAACAGGACTACAGGATAAAGGAGATACAGCAATACAGGACATGAGATCAAGGACTATACTTAAGACTGAATTGAGCAGAAATAAACGAGTCCTATTTTTGGAGAAAAAAATGAGCTGGGAGTATGAAACCGGGCCAGGAAGAAATGTCGTATGAACTTTCAGACGTTGCAAAATTTCTTTTAGTGAAACAGGAATTTTTTGGTAAACATATGAATATTTTTCCTCCAATTTGTCAAATAATTTTGTCTACAATTTCACCTAAAGTTCCTGAAAATTTCGAGGAGAAATACTCGTGACTTTCCATAAAAATACACGTTTCATCAAAGAAAATTCAGCAACTCCCAAATGTTCATACGGCGATCTTCCTTAGCACGGCAATATGAGCTTAACTGGCTGCACATTTTCTCCGATCAAAAATTCAAAAATGAAAACATTTTTCCGTACAAAAATAGACGTTGAACTTTCTCCAACACTTGGTAAGTCGTTTAGAGGAACACAAATTTATAAAACCTTCTTTTTCTCGCTTTGATTGGTTCATAGTATACGTAGGTAACGCTTAAGTATGGAGGACAGTCTGAACCCGCATTACAGATGCGTTAAAAAATGGAGTCCAGAAATGCTGATTTTGACACGTAACGCCGTTTTTTGAATCATCAAAGTTTCAAATAAAATATGGCGAACTGTTTGAAAATACCAATCTCAATTCATAACTAGGGAAATAGCATTTTTTGTATACCGCAACTCAAATTGCAAGCTTAAAAAAAAAAAAAAAAGAACAACTAATTGCGTGAGCAATATCAAGCACTAACCTAATTTTAGTGCGTTTTACGATGGAAAATTATTTTCTGCGTACCTCATTCTTTTTGACAAGTCCTCAAATTTAGTGGTTTAGAGGAGGATAAATATTTTGTGATACTAAGCACTGATTATTCTCCTGAACATAAATAATTATTTTCAATAACCAATGCTACCTCTCCTGATAGTAGAAATAACTTTATAATCATGCGGGATATAATATTAAGTTTGAAAAAAATGTCTGACTTCACTGATATAGCTTAAAGTTTCTTGAGCCTTGACATAATTTTTTTTTATTCGAGATCGGAATGAGTTGACATTTCTGATAGTTGGAATCTTTTTGAAATTTTCTTGGTCATATTAATTGATTTCCATATTCTCAGAAACAGATTTACGTATGTTGCGCTTCAAAAAAAACCCGCTCAAAGTGTCTTAAAATTGGTACGCATTGAATAAATTTTACGTACCAGAAACGAGACCTCTTTCCATAATCCCCTCGTTTCTTTCGATTAACATAGCACCGGAGGTCAAAGCCACTGCCAAAAAGAATATGATTCTGGAAAGAAAAATGCACAAAAAATTAACTTGGTCGAATGAATAGGGAAATTTAAACTATATTAAGGCATGACACAATAATGTATTGAAGTAAAAGAATGATTTGTGAAAATGTTTGTGCTGATGAGTAAAGTAGGAAAATATTCATTGGTCAATCCAATATACGGTATCACTGTAATAGTTCCATACAAAATTAGTGAGTTGAGCAGGAAATATTTTAAAGTAACAGAAATGTGGTACTTTGAAGTCGGAATTATTTCAACTATTTTAAAATGTTTCAAAATTTTTGAAAAAGCCATATCATAATATCAATTTTTACTCATTCGACAGAAATGTTCCCCTGAATCTCCCATGGAAAAAACTATACGTTTTTTAAGAGATTTTGTGAACGATCGACACATTCTTGCACGCATAAACTAACCAAAAATTATTGAAAATTAACGTAGATGTGATACTTTGAAGTCTGAATGATTTAAACTATTTTAAGAAGTTTCGACATTTTTGAAAAACCACCTTTGAAAACGCCATATGATAATATCAATCTTGACTCATTCGACTTATATGTTCCCCTAAATTTCTCAAGGCAAAAAGTAGATGTTATTTTCAGAAACGTTGAGACGACCGGCGCATTCTTGCACACATAAACAGCCTAGGAAACACTTTATCAGTATTTAAGTCAATATCTCGAGGTCATCAGGTCAATATGAACCAAAATGACATCAGACCCAGTTTACTCCCGTGCTAGCGGTCCGCTAGTGGGCTGATTATTAAAATTGATAGACAAAGCTATAGACAAAGGAGATAAGGACAAAGGAGACAAGGACAAAGGAGACAACGGAGCCTTGTAGAAGCGGGTGGTTGCAATGAAGGTTTCAGGACATTTTGTCAACGATTTTTTGTCCGCGCACCTTTTTTGTCCAGTAGTTTACGCCCACACGTAAAATAAGCAACAGTGACTTGGTCCAAGCGTTATATTTTAGTCGGTATGTAAAATTATATTGACAATATGGACATGAGAAATTGAGAGAGAAGGAGGTGTTGTTATGGTTGCTCATTTTCTAAATGAAAGGTTATTACTTTCTCCTTTTGAATCATCTTTTTCAATTGTCATTGGTGAATATTTGGTTTTATTTCTATCCTTAAAATACTGAATGTACAACATACCTTATGTGTGTATAAATACTTTTTTTTATTTATTTTTTTTATTTTTTCTTTACGAAATTTTTACTTCATTTTGAAAAAATTTATATTTTTAAAACGTGACAAATATTTGTAAAACCTTTTCCAAGCGGCATTAATCTCAATGAGCCGCAGTTGTGCCGACAGAAACTGCAAAAATGAATAAAAGAGGGAAAAAAAAACCAAGAAGCACGCAATCTTCAGCTTGAACCCATTTGTATATAGATTTTTTAGAGTCAAATACGTCACATTTTGAGCGTTTCGTTGCGCGTACACCTCGCTGCAGCACAATAAAAGCACAAAATGTAAACGAAAAAATTAAAGTGCCATGGACATCATTAAATTTGACACGGAACCATCAATATTTAAAAAACACATATTATATTATTATTCTCCTTTGATAAATTGAAACATATTTTTTCCCCTTCAATTTAAATGAGAATAATCAATGCAGAGTGTGCTAACATTTCAAAATAATGAGTTAAAAAACGCCGACTATGCGAGTATAAATATTAAAGCCGAACAGAGCGGAGCGGCGTGCTACCAGCGCGAGAGGCTCACTGGCGCCTTCAAACCTAAGTGGATACTTCACGCATTGCACAATGCTTGAAGTGTCCACTTAGGTTTGTAGGCGCCAATGCGCGTTTCGCGCTGGCCGCCCGCCCGCCGCGCGGCGGCGCCTGAAGCAACTATTTCACAACAGAGGTGTTGCACAGTATTATACGAAATTGAACGTATTAAGAATGACAGGCATCCTTTAAAAGTACAGATATTTCCTCGCAAAATAAATCAAGATACTTATCGTACACAGGAACAATGTAAGAGCCTTTAGCTGAGGCAAATATAGAAGTTTATCCGGTTCAGGTATAACAAGGTGGGAATTTCTTGAAAGATAATTAAGTCCTGTTACACCAAAGAGGTGTAGAGAGTTTTAGTGAATTTTGTCTCATGGAATTGAAGCTCCCTCATTTTTACCAAAACTCTCAACTATATATTATTCTCCGTTGGACCAAACAGACAAAACAAAAAAACAAGCAAACCCTCATTCTTCCAAACATTATATATTTTCATCCAAAGACGCCGTGAGCAATTGTCGTTTGTATTTACATGTGGGCCAATTAACTTTCGGTTTCAACTGGCACGTGGACCAAAACTCCCGTGCCGAAAAAACGCGTGGACGTAAATTACTGGAAAAAACAGGTGCGCGGACAAAAAAGCGTTGACGAAATGTCCTATAACCGTAATGAATACAGAAGTTGAGTGATAGGTTACCGAACGGCAACCTTCCAGAGGCTCTATAGTTAGCCCATCATTTTCTCATTTAGTCTCTAGGAACCACCCGATTCAACCTATAGGATAGCTTTATACTCCCTATGTATTCTTTGTTCATAGCTTTGTCTATCAATTTCATGTTTTCAGTCCATCATTTTCCCGCTTACTCTACAACAACCGACCGTATGGACCAATGGGATTGCTCCGTTTTCTCTCTGTCCTCTTTGTCTAACAATTTCAGTGATCAGCCCACCACTTCAGGTCATCACATCATTTCCGGAGTTTACTGACTGTATAACCTTAACATTTTGACGAAAATGTTGAAAGTGTACTCGACCTGCGGGCTGATTGTTGAAATTGATAGACAAATCTATAGACAAAAAGGATAGGGAGGGATCCTATTTGTGGAAGTGGGTGGTTGCAATGGACAAAGAAGGTAGATAAGAGACTAACTAACGGCAACCCACGAGAGACTCTACGGTTAGTCCATCATTTTTTTCCTTAGTTTGTGTGAACCACCCATTTCAACCCATAGCCTATGGGCCATAGTATCACTCCATTCTCCCTATGTCTGCTTTTCATATCATTTTGTCCATCACTCTGTCTACAGCTTCGTCCATCACTTTGTATTTCACTTTGTCTATGAATTTCCATAATCAGCCCGCTGACGCTCTCATCCATTGCAATGCCTCAGTCAGTCGAAGACAAATTGGACGTATTTCTATCAAACGGAACTAAGCGCCATCGGGGGAGGAAGGGAGAGGGGGGCTTGGATTGGCGGGTGTTGCGGAACGCGATGCTCGTTCCGTCCAATACTCGCAATGCGTTTCCATGGCGCTTAGTTCTGTTTGACGGAACGCGCTATCCGGGATTCTAAAATCCTCGAAGGGAACTCAATTTAGCGCTTAGTTCCGTTTAACAGAATTACATCTAATTGTGGAGGGCTAATGCACAAAACAGGGGGCCGATTATTGAAGTTGATAGACAAAGCTATAGACAAAGAAGACAAAAGGGACGTGGGGGATCCTATTGGTGGAAGTGGGTCGTGGCAATGGACAAAGGAGGTAGGTAATAGACTAAGTAACGGCAACCCACGAGGGACCCGATAGTTAGTCCATCATTTTCTCCCTTAGCCTATAAGAACCACTCATTTCATCCAATAGGTTAGCTCCATACTCCGTATGTTTTCTTTGTCTATCGCCTTGTCTATCAATCTCAATAATCAGTACGCAGGGGGTTAAGTGGGTATAGCTTACGTTAAAATGACTCCCGGCGCAGCGAAGTCGGTGAAGTTAGGGATGACGGGGCCATAAATTGGGTTCAGGAATCGGATCGGCGTGGAGACGACTTGCGTGGTAATATTGCACGAAACGGCCAATTCCGTGGCGAATTCTTGGAAGGCGTTGACTAGGTCTCGCTTGAGCAACAACGAGATTTGCTGATCTGAAACGTAAACGAGAAAAAACGTACGAGGATGAGAACAGGTCAGTGAGTCAATTGAGTCATACTGCCGAGCTAAAAGGAAAAGGAAAAAAGGAAAGGCCTTCCATTTATAAGAAATGAACGAAAAAATTATGAAAGAACGAACATACATGCAGTTTAATAATTTTAACTTCCACCGTCTCGCCGCACTGGCCGCACTGTGTTTGGCGCAATGCGTGAAGTATTCATGCAGTCTTGTAGGCGCTGTGCGTTTCACGCAGATCGCCGCGCTGAACGTACTGTGTTTGGCGCAATGCGTGAAGTATTCATGCAGTCTTGTAGGCGCTGTGCGTTTCACGCTGTCCGCTGCTGAACGCACTGTGTTTGGCGTAATGCGTGAAGTATCCATGCAGTCTTGTGGGCGCTGATATGTGTTATAAGCCAACCGCCCGCCGCGCTGAGGGCTACTCTGCCGTGCTAAGAAAGAACACCGTATGAACATTCGAGAGTTGCCAAAATTTCCTCCGATAAAATGTTTATTTTTTAGAAAAGTTATGAATATTCTTCCTATAAATTTTCAGAATCTTTTGGGAAAATTGCAAATTAAATTATCTGAAGAATCGGGAAGAAAATATTCAAAAATTTACCAAGAAATTTGCATTTTATCAAAGGAAATTTGGCAGCGCCTGAAGGTTCATACGGCGTTTTTCTTCAGCACGGCAGCATAACGGCACAAGTCATAGAATGGGATTCACTTTTCAGCAAAAACACGTCCAGTTAGTAAACGCCGCTGATACGATGATTCACGTGTTCCACCACAGTTTTACCCTGCTGAGAAAGAACATATGAGCCTCTAGGCGTTTCAAAATACCCTGAGATCCAACCCGAATTTAATGAGAAATTTTTAAATATTTTTCTTCAAATTTTTCCGGCACTTTCGTTCGAAATTTGATTTAACATATCTGAAAATATCAAGGAAAAGTGTGTATAACTTTCCTCATTCACACATACTTTGTCAGGGAAAATTTGGCAACTCTCGAAAGTTCATACGTCGTTCCTTCTCAGCACGGCAGACTTGAGTACCTTGATATCAGTGGTGGTGTGAATTGCGATACATCGATTCGTGTGTCATTTAAACCTATGAAAAAGGATCGATGGGTTCGCAGCGAACACCTTAATAATCGATTCTTTACCATAGGTTTAAGTGGCATAACAATCGATGTATCGCAATTTACGCCACGCCACTGCTTGATATTGTCACCTCTCGGCCAAATATCACGCAAGCGCCATGCGACGTTTCAAAATTTTCGCCGCTCTTTCATTCTTTAATAGAGAAATTGTTAGTTGAATTCGTCCAAAAATTTCACTGAATTTTATCGGCAGCACAAAAAATTCAGTGGCATTTTTGGAAGCTTCACTGCGCACAATTTCTCTTTAAAAAATGAAATAGCGGAAAATTTGAAACGTCGCATGGCGCTTGTGATACTCTGGTAGGAAGGTGACGAAATATGTATAAACATATGCACAAAGGTGACGAAATTAGCTCGAAAGTTTTTTTCATCAGAAAATTAAATTTTTTATAAGATATTTCATTAATTTTCTCTAGAGGAAATTTTTCTGTTGGGGAGAGTCGCCGAGTTGTTCACTTACGGCCGTAAGCGCACCGTATTAGTCTATTTTTTGCGACCAATGAAAGACCGGCACACAAATGGTCATATGCTATGTCTATTAGGTACTTTACATGACCTTAGCTTTAAAGGGAGGTCCGTGGGGATTCCTCAGGAAAATTTTAAAAAATGGGTCTCCTTCCCTAGCAGCAGAACAAATTTTTGTTTTTCTAAAAAAAAGTATAAAAAAAAACATATCTGTTATCTAAATGGTAGTTTTATATAAAAAACGTGTAACGCTTATATAAAAAAAAAAACCAAAGTGCAGGCCTGACCATAATATATGAGAGATGATAAAAGCTAGATAAGGTAATTTTTTTTTATAAAGAATTTTTTTATTTTTTTATATACCTAACGCATGCATACGAAAGTGATAAAAGTTAACATTTTTATGTAAACATTATGTAAGAAAAATGTCGTAATTTTCGTGAGCTTTTCGCGAATTAGACGATTTTTTAATATGTTTGCGAGAAGCTCACGAAAATTATGACTTTTTTATACTATGGTTACATAAAAATGTTCACTTTTAACACTTTCGTATGCATGCATTATATAAAAAAAAAATTTTTTTTTCGTACATATACATAATCTTTATCTTTGCCTTCTATGATTCTGCTACTAGGGTTAAGAGCAATTGGACGCATTTCTGTCAAACGGAACTATGTGCATTATGAAGTGAGCCCTGGTATGCATGTATTCTTATGGGTCTCAGGGCTCATGTCTTAATGCATATAGTTCCGTTTGATAGAAATATGTCCAATTTTGAGCTGTTCCGGCCGGAAAATGGATCTTATTGCAACTTCAAAGTTGTAAATCGGTAATACTCACTAGACTGATCCATCCAGATGTTGATGTTACTTTCTTCGACTGTCCACTCGTCCGCGTAGCGACCAGCGTCCATTCGCTCCTTGAGGACGTCCGTGTAGTTGTGCGCGAACTCCAGGGCGGCCCAAGCATGACCCTTTTGGACCGCCCCTATGGCTTCAGCCTCTGAAGGGAAGTAATCCTAGAAAGATAAGTAATCATACTTATCAGTGGCGATTCTTGATAAATAACATTAAAGTTGGCAAAAGCTAAAGTATGAGCCTTTCTGCTGAACGCAGCCCAGTTTATATTTATGGATTCGTAGAATCGATTGTTGATTATGATAAAAAAACGAGCGGAAAACTGGCGTAAAAATTCAGTTTTAGCACCATTTTTTGATGAGAACCAACCAATATTTCGTGCTTATTTCATTGATGCGTGCCAATTTTTGTGCCATCATTTGGGCTCTTTTACGGTCCGCAAAGTCTAAATGCGTTTAGCCACAAAGACCGTTTGTAAAAATTGTAAACTTGTATTTCCTTTTACTTAGAGGAACTGCTTGCTTACCAGAACCTGCTGCTTCGATAGTAGATGATTTAAGAAGCGACAACTAAGAAGTTCAAAGTTACAGCCGGTGGCGATAGGTCCACACGAGTCCATTTTCTCCTGATTGAAGACGGCAAGATGGAGTCCGGTCGGGTCCTTTCCAATCGCCAGGCAGAACAAAATGATCTGACCCACGGGTAATCCGATGATGAACAACATTACACTGAAAAACGTAAAAAAATACCTCTCGATAAAGATTTTCTTCGCGATATTTTCAAATACTTAACGGTGGCTTTCTGACGGGGAAATACGGTATGAAAAGTAGAACCTACATCTGGTAAACCCTGTAAGATGTTGTCAAAAGTGTCCACGATGTTTTTCTCTGTAAAAAAACTAAATTGTCGACTTTCCTTGACGGACTTTTTACAACGAAGTTTACAAATAATACAATTCTAGTCATATAATCATGACAGGAATCGATTTTCTGCGGTCGTCGAAATCATATTGAAGGTAAATTCCTTAAGATGTTTTTAAAAGTATGCACGATGTTTCTCTCTGTAAAAGAACTAAAATGTCGACTTCACTTGATGGACTTTTTCCGACGAAAGTTACAAACAACTCTAGTCATATTTTCATGACAAGAATCGATTATCTTGGGTCATCGAACATATTAAATGAGAGGAAAAGTTACGAATCTTAATTAGCAGCACCTGATGGATGTCGCTTACCAGGTTTTGAATTTCCACACTTTACATCTGCGGACTGATTATTGAAATTGATGGGAGAGGCGATATACAAAGAGTACATATGGAGCGATCCTATTGCGGATAAAATTTGTGGTTCCTGTAGACTGAGGGAGAAAATTATGGACTAACTATGGGATCTCTCGTGGGTTGCCGTTAGTCAGTCTATCGTCTATCTCCTTTGTTCACTGCAACTACCCGCTTTCACCATTAAGGATCTCTCCATGTCCCTCTTGCCTTCTTTGTCTATGGTTTTGTCTATCAATTTCAATAAGCGGCCTGCTGATGGGATTTTAAATTGTGTTCAAATTAATCAAACAGAGGAATCCTATTGAATCCAAATTTCATCCAATGAAAGGAATAAAGAAAAGGCGTTTGCTTACCTAACGTTACGCCACATCCAGAGGAAATTCTTCCATACTAGAGCTTTCATGTGATTGCTTTTACACAACTTGAGCCTTTCGCAAAGCGTTATTTCTGGCTCCTCATCCGGGGGTAGGTCGTCGGGCGCTGGCGATTGCTCTGCCTGAGAGCAAAGTACAAGCAAAGAGAATAAATATCAAAAGCTGTAAAAGCATATTTAAACGGAAATTTGGAAGTAAAAGATGCAACTTTTTGCAATAAAACTGTCATTTTTGCCACCGTGACAGTCAGATGTTTTTACATAATTTGTTTGATTAAAGCCGCGTTTGAACGATCAGACGAAAAATACGCAAATCGCAAACACCAAGAAAAAAGTGAAGTTGATTTAACGTTCTGGATGCAAAGAAATTGTGTGAGAACTTAAAAAATGCTGATGCTGATTACCCGCCACAGTCGTTTCTTAGCAATGCCAAGATGTAAAACTAACTGCTGAGGCAGGTAAGTCGGCATCTTTAAGTTCTCGCACGCTTTTTTTTACATCCAGAATATTAAATCAGTATCACTTTTTTTTCGGCGAGTGGAAAGAAAAATGTCAATTTTTTTCAATTATTGTGTTTCGATTAAGTGCAATAAGAGGAGCTCCTTCAATTCGTAAATTGGCAACTTACACAACACTCCGACACATCAACGCCAATGCTAATATGACTATGATCGGGATTCATTGCATTTGCGATCCACGTTTTTTGGGAAGAGCTCTGATTTACTAAGGTGAATTACTAATTCTCGCACACCGAGAGATATTGTACCTCTCTCATGCAATAGTCGATTTGAATGTAGTTACCCATAAACACAGGAATTTTCCCCAAGAACACGGTAAAGGCACTGATTTTCCCTAATTTTCACGTCCAAGTTTAAAAACAGCTCTCAAATGTGTGGTATAGAACTTTTGTTTTTGAAGGGAGGCAACCTTGAAATATAATAATGCAATCATAAGGGAAAACGCCATAGGAGCCTTTACACGTTGCCAAATCTCCTTTAGTAAAATACGGATTTACAGAGAAACTTGTGACTTGTGAGTAATTTTCTTCTAATTTTTCAGAGAATTTCACTCGAAATTTAAACTATAGTGTCTGAAAATTTCAAGGAAAAATATTCGTAAATTACTTCAATAATGAGTGTTTCTCGGGGGGAAATTTGGCAACAACCAGATGTTTACACGGCGTTTTTTCTTAGCACGGTAGAGTAGCACCATCCACGCACGAAGAGAGCGAATATGTGTCCTGATAATAAAATTCACAAAACACCAGTGGCGTGGCGTACTTTGCGATATATCGATTGATCTGCTATTTAAATTTATGGAAACGGATCGATTATCAAGGTGTTTGCAATGAACACCTTAATATTCGAGTCTATACTATAGCTTCAAATGGAGAAATATCGATGATCGATCATTCACGCCACGCCACTGCAAAACACGCAACTTGATTTGCGAGTTACGCAGATTTTTCGTCACATTTTATTATTTAAAAGGATAACCAACTAGTGCCATTTCTTGAAATTTTTACTGATTTTTCTTTATCTAATTACGGATGTAGATTGCCTTAGAGATACTAAATTGGACCAATCCGGGCGAACAAACTTACCGGATTAGGGGCTATTGAGACTCGGCGACCAAGTTTAGGGGGTGGTAAAGTTGGGTTGACGTTGTCTCCAAACTCACCGCTCATTTCATTCGAGTTATCGAACGCTAAATTCGTCTCTCCGACTGGATCTGCCTGTGCGGCAATCTAGTAAAAAAAAAAAAAAAAAAAAAAATCACAGTGATCAATCGCTATTAAACTAGATTATTAAAAGACGACGCACAACTAAACTATACAAACCGAGAGAAGTGTTTTGGGCCACAACTTTTACAGCAAAGGAGAGGTTCAAAAAAATAACTTAACCCCTCACATCTTCTGGGTTTTGAACAACACTCTCCGTTCAAAACTTACGTAAGGTAATTCGATGGACGCCATATTTTGTGTCAGAACGGCATACGATACATCGCATCAATTGATTCCATTTTTTCAGCTACTCGTCATTTTTCTCCAATTTTGAGATCGCAATTCTGTTGTCAGGAGACTAAAGCACTCACGCACCAATTTTAACAGAGAACTTCAACGTAATTAAGGCGCGGTTTTTTTAGGGAGAAAATATCGCATTCGAGTGCAGTTTAGATATCAGTATCGAATGCTATGTATTCTCTCTAAAAAACCACGCCTTTATTACGTTGAATTTCTTTGATAAAATTGGTACGTGAGTGCTTCAGTCTCCTGATAACAGAATTGCGATCTCAAAATTGGAGAAAAACGACGAGTAGCTGAAAAAATTGAACCAATTGATGCGATATATTGCATGTCGCTCTGACACAAAATATGGCGTCCATCGAATCACCTTAACTAACCATCTTCAACCCAATTTAAAAGAGGATTAAAATCCAGATGATTTTCCTGCGGAAATGGAAGCCCTCCTTCCAAGCAGACGGTCTGAACTTGATCATCCTGAGAGAAATTGACGCAATTTAAAGCTGGTGTTCACAGACTGTATACGATCAAAATTTCTGTTTTTACTCCAGGTTTTCCACTTCCGGATATGGAACATTTTTCGAATTTTTGGGTGAATGATCCACTAACAATACAAACATGCCCAAACGCAATACGGAACCAATTGTTCCCGTTAACTTCCAAATAAACCTACAAGCTTGCACCATATTAATTTACAAGATCCTTGTTCTGAGGGTGCTGAAAACCCACGAAACAGGGAAAAATCCTGGAAGAGGAAAAAATTCAATTCGTTTTCTGTCCTGAAACTCGGAACATTTTCCAGTTTTTTTCTGACCTCAGTGAGTAATTTTCACGTCTGTCTTTCCCGGTTTCCGCTAATCTCCAGTCCTGTAGATACGCTTGATTAAACAAAGTGCACTGCTTTTTAAGTGAAATAATATTATTCTAAAAAGGATGGCCAAAAATTTCGGCAGGCAATCCGTTTTCAATCGAGCCTCGGTAAGGAATGTGTCATTGTATTGATTTCTGAAATATAATGAGCAATTTAATACATAAAATACAAAAATTGTGGAAATCGGATACAACGACCTTCTGGGCACCGGCTAAATTTGGTCGTCTTATCCGATTGTCGCTATAACCGCGGATGCTCAAGTACATTGAATAAATGGGATTTCAGCCGCGGGACTGATCAGATCGCAGGTCGTTAACAGCGATGCCGTAATATCCGATTTCCATTGTGAAACTATTTTACTTACGCTGGGTGGTAGAACAATGGCTTGCGTGACGTCATGTAAAATACTGCTTCTTCTCCTCTTTCCCTTATTTTGTAAAATACTCAGTTTTAGGAAGACTTCTTCTAAGGATTCTGCTTGATATTTTTCTAACAAAGCGGACGGCGATTCTTCGGCTAACATCCTTCCTCCTCGGAGGAGTCCAATCTAAATGAAATGAACAAAAATTCTATTAATAAAACTTATTAGTGTGTAGCTTAATATCATAGTCATTAGTCAAGGTACCTACACTGAAAAAAAATATTGCTGAAATTGCCGTGCACGCGGGTATTTTATGGTATGGTGTAGCTAAAAAACGAACGTGCAAACCATGCAGGTAAAATCGCTACACAAATTTCAGCTAACTTGCACACACGCGTGTAGATGATTTTGCTCTCTGAAAAGCTACGTCTGTTACCTTTTTAGTTATTCTTCCGTAAATTTCGCTATTTTTCCGTAAATTCCGCTATTTCAGCCTAACTATTGAGCTATTTTTACTGTTCGCAAAGTACCACTACCAAAAAATGCAGTTACACTTCCAAGCCACTCGATGCAAGATTAACTGCATGAAGGCGCGCAGATGTAGCAAATCGGTGTAGCAATTCGTGCTAGTCGTTCACTTGATTCAACACCGTGCACGGATAAAAAAGCTTTACGAAGTGAAGAAAATTTTGCTCCACCCTAAATTGATGAATTAGCTATCCTTTTTTTTCAGTGTATGCTTGCAGCATACACTGACCAATGTGCTTATTATGAGTCGGTCAAATAAGTATGTAACGTTTATGAGCTTTTATTCACATATTTGGAGCGTTTGTCACGTAAAATTTCGGAATTTCAATCTAAAGTATAGAATTATTGACTATATAGGCCGCGTTTAGCAGAGAGAAACCAAGCCACACCAGAAGCGCCCCCTGTGGATTGGGATGCGTGGTGGCCAGGGAGCATAGCCCTCTTGTACGCTTCATCTGGTACTATGCAATGGAGTTAATACTCTACACAATGGCCGAATGGATCGCGCTCAGTAGAAAGGAACCAAACCACATCAGTTATTGTCAAATTCAATTAAGCAATTCAATGTTTTACAAGAGAACGTTTGTGCGGATTCCTTTGAAAATTTTAAGAAATTCGCTTCGTATGTTGCAGGAAATTCACTGAAATTCGCACCAAAATCCGCATAATCGTTTTCATGTAAAAAATTGAACCGTCCACTTAAATTTTGGAAGTAGCGGATGCGGCTTGGTTTCTTTCTGCTTAGCGCGGTCCATGTTTGCGTCGGCATTGACAGAACTAGAGGGCTATATTTCTCATGACGGCTCCGCGCCTTTGCGTCAATTTTTCAGGGAATTCAGTTTACAGTTATGCAAGAAAAATCATGCATAACGTTGTTCAGAAATTCATATTTTCTAAAAGGAAAATTGGCAACATTCGAGTGCTCATACGGCACACAGTGGATCGAGTCAACTAGAGAGGTCAGACATGAATTTCTTGACTATAAAACTGCAAATTTTGATGTTTATTTCGTCACCTTTTAAATTTCAAGGGTTTCTTATCGAAGAAAATTTCACGAAGAAACCGATGAAACCACTTTTAGAGCCTCAAAGTTTTGTGTAAACGGAGTTATTAGCATTTAAAGTTTCCAAATTTTGTCCGACCTCTCTTTTTGACTCGATCCACTGTGTGGCGAGGCGGGCAGCCGGTCAGCGCCTACAAACCTAAGTGGATACTTCAAGCATTGCGCAATGCGTGAAGTATCCCTGTAGGATTGTAGGTGCCAATGCGCGTTCCGCGCTTGCATGACAGTGCGCCCAGCGTTCTTCACTATGTGCGGCGTCATTATGACGGTTCAGCATGACAGCAATGTGGTGATAATAAACTGTAAGTATATTTACAACTCACCGTATGCGCTTGCCTAGTTTCATCGATATAATGTGTAGTAATTATCACAGTCGTTCCGCTGTCTTTTGTGATTTGGACTAGATGGTCCCAAATGCTGAAAAAAACAAAAGAAAAATATTTTTAATGATGGGTGGAGATGAAAAATGGTGGATTATCTAACGACTCAAATGAACGCATCATGAACGCACCGAGAGATTTTGAATTTTTCTCGGCTTTGAAAAAAAAGAACCGTTGATGTTCAACCATTTTGACCACTATATAAATCAAGTATTTTACACGAACGTCATGTTTTCGTTGTTCATTTTTTAAAGTGAAATGCATGACATTTTTTGTTAAAATGTATGAAATCTTCAGATAAAATTTTCTTCCAAAAATTCACTGTTTCCAGCGATTTTCCGATATCCGATTCCAGTGGCGTGGCGTGCTTTGCAATATATCGATTGATCTGCCATTTAAACCTACGAAAAAGAATCGATAAACAGGGTGTCAACGAACATCTTAATAATCGATTCATTACTATAGCTTCAAAAAGGGAAATATCAATAATCGATTGTTCACGCCACGCCACTGGTATTGAACCTAATCGGACCCCATTTTCCAAGATATATCAATCCATGGAAGAAAACCACGAAATATTTTCAGGCTGAATCGAAGAAAACCTACTTTTGTCTAAGAAGAGGATCTACTCCAACAGTTGGCTCGTCCAGAATCAGCAATTCTGGCTCGTGGAGAAGTGCTGCGGCAAACGACACCCTCCGTTGCTGACCTCCACTGAAAAAAATTAAGAAAAAAAATATGAATATCGTTTGAAAAAAATTGAAAAAAACCTCCACTGAAAAAAATTAAGAAAAATATATGAATATCATTTCCCTCTTTCAATTGAACGAGTGGAATAATAGAGTTCCTCCTCATTTCTCTCGTATCCATTGTCAGTGTTTCCTCGGTTCTCACAAAACCACAGGCGTTTCACACTGACCTCAGGTACTTACTTACGTGCTCATTAACAAGACGATTGACGCCTTATTGCGTGCGGCGGTAATGAGTGATTTACCAGTTTCATGTTCACTTTTGAAGCGCCTGATTGCAATTTTGCAGCTTGCCAATGCTGCCGGGCTAAGGAAGAACGCCGTATGAACATCCGAGAGTTGCCAAATTTCCCTCGATAAAACATGTATTTTTGACGAAAATCACGCACATTTTTATTTGAAATCTTTAGATATTTCATATTAAATTGCGTAGAAAATTGTCTAAAACTTTGGAGGAAATTAATCACAATTTTGTCAGTAGATTCGGTTTTTATGGAAGGAAACTTGGCAACGCCCGAAGGCTCACACGGCGTTCTTCCTTAGCACGATAGAATGGCTAATCCTGAAAACTCATACTTCAACCATGGCGTTTCAGAGTCTCCGTTCATATCCCACTTTAATACAGACCTAAAAAAAACTCACGGAACTTAGCGGAATAATCATGATAGGATAGTGAAAATAAGAATTAAAAGTAAAAAAAATAATCACGAGCTATTTTCCTTTAAAACATAGGATACGAGAGGTCTGCGAGGTCACATTTTGAGATACGTGCTTTCAGAAATTAGCTACTGATGCGGCTCTGTTGTGAGTCATGAAATGAAGCTCCTGCAAGAGTCTATATTTTTCAATTTAACTTTCTATACTCTGTAAAATGTTGCAACTAATAAACAAGTAATAAATTGCTTGCAAAACAGCGATAACCCTTAGTGTTGCCAAAACGTATTTTACAAGTGGATCTAGTGCCATGTTTGACCACCAATAGGTATTCAATTCATTTATTCAATTCGTTCAAATAGTTTCAAGATTTTTGGACATTTTTATGACGAATATACGAATTTAAATGACTCTCTTGCGTTAAGTGAAATTTTCTCCTTGGATGCCCATTGGCGGATCCAGCAATTTGGCAACATTGTTTTCTTCATTTAAACCCATGGAAATGTATAGATTCTTAGAAAAGCCAGGTGCTCGCATCGATTTTTACAAGACTCGATTATTTAACATAGGTTTAAATGGAGGAAATCCGGTGTTGCCAAAGTGATAGATCCGCCTCTGTGGATCCCTCTACCGACAGACCGTTGCAATTATTAGGACCCACCTGAGGTTTTTGACTGGTCGACTAGCTGGGGGCAGTTGGAGGAATTTAACGAGGAACTCTACCCTTTCGTTGATGGCTTTTGTTTCCATGCCGGCTACCCATCCGAAATATTGCATCGTTTCCCGTATTGTGAATTCGCCGTATAATGCAATTTCCTGTAGAAAAGAAAAATTCTATAAAATGGGCAGTTTCAAATCAAGTTTTCCTCCATCGTCGCACACCTTTTTTTTTTTTTTTTTTTTTNTTTTTTTTTTTTTTTTTTTTTAATCAAAATCCTTGTTTAGAATTTAAAATATTTACGGTTATAATACAATTGTAGATTTAAGACACGGACTTTAGACTAAGGTTATTAATATAAGTTATGAGACAGGGGGCTAAAGGGAGGGATATTTACAACGGGGTGCTGTAGGTACATACATTCTATCAGTCGCACACTGAAAACTAAAAAGAAAAAAATGACACTCTTGACATTTTCGAAGTTAATTTTGCAAGTAAAAACGACTGATATGGAATACTAAAAAAGCGGTGAATACAGAGAATCATTATCACCGGAATTTCATTATTACGAATGCTCATTAGAGGGACAGTATTATCCAAAATCAATCTAACTAATTACATCACTAAATTAAAACCTTAACTTTAATCCTTATAACTACATCACTCGTTGTCGAATTTCCTCTCATATATTTTGCTAACTTAAATAGAGCAACACACTCTTACTTGAACTTTTGTGGGTTAACTCTTTACATTCTAAGAAAAATTCACGGAATGGCTGTTGCTGGAGTTGCACAGTTTTCTTGTGAAGTATAAAGCATGGAGGGCAATAGAGAATTTTCACAAAAAAATGTTATTGCTTCATCTAAGTGTGCTTAATGAGCTGAGTTCGAAGTCGGCAGTATTCTTCATTTTTTTCTGAAATGTGGAATTGCAGAAGCATATATTTAAAAGTGAAATAATTTACTGCCTTGTGACGTCATCTGGTTTCATTTCCGATTCGAACACATACATTTTAGCAGATTGGGTAAGTAGCTTTGTCATAGTCCGATAATTGCTAAATTTAAAATTCAAGGAATTCAGTCCTCTCATAGGTTTCATTTTAATAACATAAAATTTCAAAAATTTCAGACCGCTGAAAATTCTCTTTGCGGGTTGGCTAGGCTTGGTTGAATCTTTTCAACTAAATATTTTAGTTTTTTTCTAAATGGAAATAATTTTTTCTAGAATTTCCCATCAGCGTTTTCTGTCATGAAACTCACTGAAGTTTACACCAAATTTCCATGAGTACCTAGAAGATCTTGGCTTCAGTTCGTCGCACAGTGCATCGAGTCAATTGGACGTATTTCTATCAAAGGGAACTATGTGCATTATGACTTGAGCCCTGTTATGCATATATTCTTATGGGTCTCAGGGCTCATGTCTTAATGCACATAGTTCTGATTGGTAGAAATACGTCCAATTAGAGAGGTCGGACATGAAATTTTTGACTAAAATTGCAAATTATGATGTTAACATCGTCACATTTTAAAGTGTAAGGGATGCTTCCGGAAAAAATGTCACGAGGAAACCAATGAAACCACTTTCAGAACCTCAAAGTTTTGTGTAAACGGAATTATAAGCATTTAAAGTTTCCAAATTTTGTCCGACCTCTCTTTTTGACTCCATCCACTGTGTGGCGCGGCGGGCAGCCGGTCAGCGCCTACAAACCTAAGTGGATACTTCAAGCATTGCGCAATGCGTGAAGTATCCCTGTAAGGTTTGTAGGCGCCAATGAACGTTCCACGCTTGCATGACAGTGCGCCCAGCGTTCTNTTTGCAACAGGCCCATTGCAGAAGCATATATTTAAAAGTGAAATAATTCACCGTCTTGTGACGTCATCTGGTTTCATATCCGATTTGAACACATACATTTCAGCAGATTGGGTAAGTTGCTTTGTCATAGTCCGATAATTGCTAAATTTAAAATTCAAGGAATTCAGTCCTCTCAGTGGTTTCATTTTAAACATAAAATTTAAAAAATTTCAGACCGCTGCAAATTCTCTTTGCGGGTTGGCTAGGCTTGGTTGAATCATTTCAACTAAATATTTTAGTTTTTTTCTATATGGAAAGAATTTTTTCTAGAATTTCCCATCAGCGTTTTCTGTCATGAAACTCACTGAAGTTTACACCAAATTTCCATGAGTACCTAGAAGATCTTGGCTTCAGTTCGTCGCACAGTGGATCGAGTCCATTTGAGAGGTCGGACATGAAATTTTTGACTAAAATTGCAAATTATGATGTTAACATCGTCACATTTTAAAGTGTAAGGGATGCTTCCGGAAACAATGTCACGAGGAAACCGATGAAACCACTTTCAGAACTTCAAAGTTTTGTATAAACGGAGTTACAGGCGTTTGAAGTTTCCAAATTTTGTCCGACCTCTCTTTTTGACTCGATCCACTGTGTGGCGCGGCGGGCAGCCGGCCAGCGCCTACCAACCTAAGTGGATACTTCAAGCATTGCGCAATGCGTGAAGTATCCCTGTAAGGTTTGTAGGCGCCAATGAACGTTCCACGCTTGCATGACAGTGCGCCCAGCGTTCTTCCTTAGAACAGTGGATCAGTCAATCATAGAGGTCGGTCATGAATTTTTTGACTAAAACTGCAAATTTTGATGTTTATTTTGTCACATTTTAAATTTCAAGGTTTCCTTATCGAAGAAAATTTCACGAGGAAACCGATGAAACCACTTTCAGAACCTCAAAGTTTTGTGTAAACGGAGTTATAAGCATTTAAAGATTCCAAATTTTGTCCGACCTCTCTTTTTGACTCCATCCACTGTGTGGCGCGGCGGGCAGCCGGCCAGCGCCTACAAACCTAAGTGGATACTTCAAGCATTGCGTAATGCGTGAAGTATCCATGTAGGATTGTAGGTGCCAATGCGCGTTCCGCGCTTGCATGACAGTACGCCCAGAGTTCTTCACTGTGCGGCGTTTTTCCTTAGCATGACAGCAATGTGGTGATAATAAACTGTAAATATATTTACAACTCATATTGACTCGACCCAGCGTGCATCGTCCACAATGAAATAACGTACGGTGCGCTTAGTTATCGAAGTTTTTCTTACGAAAATATATAATCTATTATCTATCGATAATATAAAATCTTATATAAATATTTTCAAAACCATAATCTGGAGGCACTCACTAGAGTACCTATATTGAGAGAGTATGGCCACTGGGGTTACCACCTCTGATTGGCTCAGCCATCTTAGGCTGAATGGAGCCCTTAGGACCCAAAAATGGCGGACGCCATAAATTAATGTAATGCAAAATGACTCAAAATGTAGTTTTCTTTGCTTATCGTAACGAGAAATTTACTCAAATGCACTATTGTGACATCTTTACATATTTTTAAGGCTAATCGTGTGACATTTTTGAGAAAAATTATCTTAGATGTAGTAAGGTTGGCAGCAAGTGCGGTTGGTGATAACCGTCAAAAGTTGGCAATGAACCTCCTCCCATCCACAAAAACCAAAACAAAGCACCGCCATTTTTGGGTCCTAAGCCTCTCCATGGGGCCCGGTGGCCATACTCTCTCAATATAGGTACTCTAGCACTCACCTGAGGCATATATCCAATCCGAGGTCCAGGGACACCACTCCCTCGGGAACCCGGTTTTCCACCAAGAACCCATATTTCACCCGAGTTTAGGCGCCGACGACCAACTATACAACTTAAAAGAGTCGTTTTACCACAACCACTAGCTCCCAACAATCCGTATCTGCAACACACACACACAGAGAGTCAAGATAATTAAAAAAATCATAAGTAAAACAAGCGGAAAAGCTCTGATAAGTTTGTATTAGAGAAGCGCTTAGCTGTTTTCTATGTGGGCGCCTTTTTAATTTCCCCGTAGAGGATGAGCAACGTTAAGGCAAACAACTCGCCTCATCAAGATTTCAACTATAAATTTTGAGGAAAGTACACTACTGTTAAACATTTAAATTATAGAAAAACGATTATCGTCCTCCATTCTTTGATTTTGGTGATTTTGATCGACCTTGATCCGACCGGCGGTATACAGTTCAACTTCATCAACGGATGTTGCAGTTCCGTAGAGTGCAAGTATCCACAATTTGTTGGGCCCATAGGCGCAATATCGTTGCTCCCTTAACGTTAGGACGTATTTCTACATCCGTGTGAGCCCTAGAAAGCATGCAGTCATATGGGCAACAAGGCTAACGTGAAAATGCCTATACGTTCTTACGTCAGAGGAACAACGATAAGTGATGCGGGATCGTCTACAGGGGGTTTGCGGTGAACTTACATGGTAAAGGCAGGGCCGGATTTCCTACTTACCGCCCATGGGCCGCCTGTATTTTGCCGCCCCCTTCTCATTCGTTTTGAAACACCAATAAAAACCACCAAGTGAACGTGCCAGCGGGGGAGGGGTGCATAACACGCGTTTACTCGCGTTGAATAACACATTTTTTGGGAGAGCCCTGTCAACACTACTAGCAAAAGGTCGCGGAGCTTTGCGCGAAAGTCAAGTTTCGTAAACCTATCTCTAATGGACAAGGCCTTCCATTCATAAGACATTAACGAAAAAATTATAAAAGAACAAACGCAAAATTTGGTTTAATGATTTCAACTTCCGCCGCCGCGCCGTGCCGACCGCACCGTGTTTGGCGCAATGCATGAAGTATTCACGCAGTCTCGTAGGCGCTATGCGTTTCACGCTGACCGCACTGTGTTTGGCACAATGCATGAAGTATTTATGCATTCTTGTAGGCGCTATCCATTTCACGTTGACCGCAATAACCGCACTGTGTTTGATGCAACGCATGAAGTTTTCGTGCAGTCTTGTAGGCGCTAATATATGTTACATGCCGATTGCCGCGCCGAGAGCTTCTCCTTTTTATCTCAAGTCCCCGTCATCATTTCTCCCTTAGTCGCGCCGTTCCAGGCCAAATTGTGTGTTTGGTTTCTCCCTTAACTCGACTAATTAAAGGTGCTGTCTCTTGTCTCAATGAAAGACGACAAAATTAGAAATTACTATACTCTCAGGAAATGAGAGATTTTTTAGCCTTTTCTCGTTTGTAATTGTTTTTTTCTTGATCCGATTTTTTTAAACCTACATTTAAAAAATTGCAAAATTTGCCGCCCCCTAGATTTTTCGCCATGGGCCGCGGCCCATGTGGCCACCCCCTTCATCCGGCCCTGGTAAAGGGGGTTTTGTGGTCCTCCCTTTATAAAATTTGAGCTTTCACACCATAAGCCTAATCTGAGCCGTTTTATGGTATCGTAAGGGAAAAGAAGGAAAGTGGACGTTATATGGACTTAAAAGTAAGCTTACGAGAGACAAGTGAAATTACGGAATTAAGAATTTTTTTAAAGAGTTTCTGCTGAAGAAAAAGGGAGGAGGAGGCTCATCATGAGAGGGAGGGGGGGACTTTCACCGGAAAAAATGTGATGTTGATGTAACATTCTGAATGTAAAAAATGTGTGCGAGAACTTACAAAATGCTGATTTACACGATACAGCAGTTAGTTTTACATCTCGACATTGTTAAAGTAACTGCTATGGCGGTTGATTCAGCATTTTGAAAGTTCTTGCACACTTCTTTTACATCCAGGATGTTAAATCAACATCACTTTTTTTTCGGTGTTGTTCTGTGGGTATGGGCGTATTTCGGTAATTTTGTTACGAGGACCTGCCCCGCGTATCCTACAACCGGGGGGTCTGGGTAGTATGCTGCCATGCAACGCAAAAACTCTGTAAACGCCATTATAAGTTTTTTTTGGAAACAATGTATCGTAGCATAAAAACTTTTCTACTTGGGACAATGTTTTTGTAGACTCCTTTCGTAAATACTATCAAGAACTTAACCTGAAAATTTGAAGTGCATGGGTAAGTAAGCTTCATGCTAAGCTAAGTGAAAGCTTCACGGAAAAAATTATAGTGTTGGTTTAACAATTAAGTCGTTAAAAAATATGTCTGACATGTTTCAAACGTACATTTTTCAATAGTAGAAAGCCACTTAAACCGCGGAGGTGGTTAGATTTGCATATTGTTATTGTAAAATCTACATTGAAACATGCCGGCCCCTTTTTTAGCAACAAAATTGTTTATCAGCACTCAGCAACTTCCTTTTTTTCCGTGTTCCACCTGTCGCCATGAGGCCAGTGGAGGATCTCTTGTCGCTGGAGCGGATCGACGATTTCCGGATTTTCCTTTCTGTTTGGTCACCCGGCTGCACCGGGGCCAATAGCCTCTCCAACCGCGGTCATCGGTCAAAATTCGGGCGTTGATGCTTCTCGCAGAGTGGCGGGTCCGAAAGTGAAAGAAGCTCGGGTGCTGATCGACGAGCGCCGAAATATCGGATCATTTCGGCGATCGGGTCGGCGGCTGACCTCGCGGCTGATCCGGCCTCAGCATCCTCCAGCCGGTGGTCAAGGTCACTCAGACGCGCGTTGCATCACTCCCTCCGACCCCCCGCCTCCTCCCGCTGTGCGTCGCGGCGCGGCGCAGCGGGCTTCCCATTAACTCACCATTAATCAGCCTCGCGTCGAACGATCATCGATGATTCGCGCGTCTCCGATTTGGGATATTGTCGTCGATGGTCGTGATGAAGTGGTTCAACGGCGAATTTTTGCAATCGAATGAAATAAGAAGAAGAAAATGTGACTGAAAGCTGGAAAATGTGACCCGAACTGTATGTGAGAAGGTAGTAAAATACGTCAGTAAGGTGGATTTTTTTGCAAACGTGAAATCAGCACAAAGCTGAAAATCTCAATACAGAGGGGAAAAAACTCTTAGAGTCTCGATAGACGATCAAATTCCCGAACCAATTACCATTAAAGTGTCGGGAGTCATCAGTATTAAACTCATTAATTTGCTTGAGTTTAAAATGAAAACTTGGCAAAAATGTTTCCTGAGGCAGGAAATGATGAATGGTGGCACTCCATTCTGATCTTACTTTGAACAAAATATTGCGGCCCGTCAAAATTTGATGGTAGATGGTGACCATCAGTCATCAGCATGTCTACTTTGATCGGAATTGGTTCGGAATTCGATCGTCTATCCAGGGCTATAATATGAGCACAATTTTCCTTCACAGAGATACGCTGTTTGGTGCACTGCACTGAGGATCGGCCCAATAAGGCCGAAACGCGTCTGCAGTTGCCTTCCTGAATGGTCGTAACTTGTGTTGCACCAAACAGCGTACCTCTGTGGGGGAAAACTGTGCTCACATGAGCTTTTTCCCTCTGTATGGAGATTCTCAGCTTTATGCTGATTTTTTAACGCACGTTTGCTAAAAAATAGCAACTTACTGACGTATTTTACTAACTTGTTACATACAGTTCGGGCCCAATTTTCCTGCGTGTTTCTTCTTCTTATATCATTCGATTGCAAAAATTCGCCGTTTAACTACTTCGTCACAACCATGTAAAGTAAGAACTGAGTTTGATAGGAGGGAACCGAGTCACATCAAAATCAAACCGAGAAAAACAGGTTTGAGGGTGATGCTGCAAGACTTTCCTACTGATCTTTCCATCGAAATTCGGAAATTGTCTCTGATAAGAAATTAGTAGATTCACGGGTTTTTCGATCGATTCACGATTGTCAATCGCATCAGTGTCGATCGACTCACTTTTATAGAATTTGATCAATTCATGTCGATCAATTCCATACCTTCCGATTTTCAAACCCACACTTCGAGTCGAGAAAAAATTCGATTTTGCAGCAAATATGGAAGTTGACTGTGTTAGTGACGACACTGGTGAAATAGAAATAATAGTTGGGACTGTGACTGCGTGTAAATAAGGTTGAAAAATTACTGAAGCCGCCGTTGCGGACGCAGGAAACCTTGGTGGGGACGGTAATTATGATCCATCCACACGACATGGCAAAACGCGACGCAACAACGGTGAGGCGCATTAAGTAATCAATGCTCCAGCTTTTAATCAGCAATCACCGTTGTTTGTCCACTCTTGAATTCTCTCTCCTCGGCATAAGTCACCGATGGCTAGTCGTACAAAAGAAATCGAGATAATTTTTTTTTTGTTTTGGGAGGGGGGGGGGTAGCCATTTTAAGTGATGCTGCTCTGAAACCCCGAGTGATATGTGGACTGCATTTTGCAATTTGGATCTATAAATTCTGGCTCATCTGAAAAAACACCTATTAGCATAGGGAAAGTAATGACACATACGTTGTTTTTAAACCGGGCTGGAATTTATACTTCCTAATGGACCACTAGACTAGGTACGAATTTCAGCATTCTGATACATGTTTCTGAACCAAAATTTCACGTAAAACGCGATGCGCATAGCAAAAGTTACCGAAATCAACTCCTTACGAAGATATTTAATGATTCATGATGCGTGAATTCAAACCGCCCGCTCATGAAAACTCAATGCTCTACGTGATTCACATCGCGCGCTAAAACGTTCATCTTGATAGTCTCTACGATATAAAAATCTGGAAACCTCAAACTTGACGGTTTGGCTCAGCTATAGCAAATTTCTTGTGGTTTGACTAACATATGATGGGCAATGAACATTGCTCGATGGAGAAGCTTGCTGAAACCGTTGTAGCGCGCGATTTGACTCGAGTAGAGCTTTGTGTTTCTTGTGAGCGGGCAGTTCAAATTCCTCGTAACCAATGGAAAATAAAAACGTTGAAATCTTCGTTAGGAGTTAGTTTCAGTAATATTTGTTGCGCTAATCGTGTTCTACGAGAAATTCTGGTTAAGAAATATGTATCAGATTGCTTAAATTCGTACCTTGTCTAGTGGTCCATTGCAAAATGCAGTCCATATGAAATCGGACGTATTTCTTCCTAACGGCACCAGGGAGCAGATGGCAGGTGGAAAAGAAGGGGTTTGCTCGTCAGTTGAGGGCCGTAAGAATGAATGGAAATTCTTTGAATAAATAGATATGGGTCCGGCAAATTTTTGAAACAATCATAGTCGAGAATGAATGGATCAACAAAATTCGGAAGTAAATAGAAAAACGACTGCGTTTTAATGAGACCAAAATTATGGAAAAAAGGAGCCAAGAAGTTGAGCCTGAGACTCCAAAAAAGATCCAGATTAAAGAATTTTTTATATTAAGAGAGGAACCTATCTAGTTTTATCTAAGTTGTGTGTTTTATCTAAGTGTTATCTAAGTTTTTATCTACTTAGCGCCAAGAGGATACAAATCGGAAAATCACCAAAATCGGAACAGTGATTCTACATGTACTTTCAGGGTTTATGATTCCGAGGTCACAAACTTCGTGAAGTATCTTACATTTTAATTTATTTTTTGGAATTTAGGCATTTTAATTGATGCTGCGTTCGGTAAATGTTTCAAACAATCATTGTCGAAAATGAATGGATCAACGAAATTCGGAAGCAAATAGAAAAGCAACTGCTTTAATTTGACAAAAATAGACCGAAAATATGGAAAAACCGAGTCAAAAATTTACTTCCGACATCATACTCAAGATTCAGATTAAAAACTTTTTTACAATCTTTAGGTGGGAACCCAAGTTTTTATCTACTTTTTAGCGCCAAGAGAATAAAAATCGGGATAGTGCTTCTACGTGCAGGGTATATGATTCCAATTTTACGTATTTTGTGACGCATCCTCCCGTTTAGGCATTCCGTTTGCACCCCATGGCAGGTTGGGCCGAGAAGTGGCCAGAGGCAAAAATATATTATTGTCTTCATAGCGGAGAAAAAAAAACACTAGAAATATCAGCCATTATGACTCCTCTGCGCTTACCATTGAGCGGTTATAACGTCGCCTCTCTGACGTAAGGGCGTATCTCAATTTTCACGTGAGCCCTGTTTTACATATGAGCCTATGCTTTTTGGGGCTCATTTTAAAATGGAGGTACGCCCTTACCTCAGAATGGCCACGATAATTGAGGATACCGCTCATTGATTGCGGTTTATTTGCTGTTGTGTTGCTTTGTCTTTCTTCCAACGTGAGTAAACAAATAATACCTACTGAAGAGGCTTGCACTTCAAGCGGCTCTCCTTCTCTTCATTAAGTTATGTGTGATGGAATTATGGAAAACAACTTTTAGGGTGTGAACTCAAAGTTTTCGGTGCTGCGAGAAAACCAACTTTGAGTCGAAAATCTTGAATTTCCATTCTTACATCTTCTAATTTTGTGTCAAGACATGTCCTTTCTATTGTTGGGTAAAATAACTAAACATAATTACAAGCGAGAAAAAACACTAAGAAATGACCCGAATTGTATGTAACAAGGTGGAGAAATGGTGCTGAGTCCAAACCATTTCGCAGGGAAAACAAAGCCAAAGAGTTCCAAAAATGTCGTAGCTGTAAGACGTAGTGCGTACATTCATGTTGTAGCATACTGCATAATTTTTCGAACACTTTATCGGCACTATGATCACTTTTTTCCTATACGAATTAAAACAATTTCAAAAACCGATTATACTTAGATGACTCACTTTTTTAGTATTCTTTACGCGCAATGGCCGGGTCACCAGAAGACGGGCGGCCTGCCCGAAATGACCATTGTGCGTAAAGAATAATCAAAAAGTAAGCCATCTAAGTATAATCGGTTTTTTAATTTTTTTAAATTTGTATAGAAAACAGTGATCAAAATGTGCAGTTTGAGTAAAAAATTTCATGTCCGACCCCTCTGATCGACTCGATCCACTGCAGTGCGGCAGAGCTGGACGTGAACTTGGATCTTTGTTTTTTGTGACCTTGCGTTTAAGTCTCCGAGGATAGGTAGTAAAAAATGTCATGTCCGACCCCTCTGATCGACTCGACCCACTGCAGTGCGGCAGAGCTGGACGTGAACTTGGATCTCTGTTTTTTATGACCTTGCGTTTAAGTCTCCGAGGATAGGTAGTAAAAAATGTCATGTCCGACCCCTCTGATCGACTCGATCCACTGCAGTGCGGCAGAGCTGGACGTGAACTTGGATCTCTGTTTTTGTGACCTTGCGTTTAAGTCTTCGAGGATAGGTATTGGGTAACTTACATGCAGCCTTTGGGGACGGTCATGTTGAGGCCGTCGAGGATGACGTTTGGATTCTTGGTGGTTCCGTAGCGTTTGTAGGCCCGTCTCACGCATACTGCCTGCTGTCGTCGGGACCAAACGGTGCTCTGCTGCGTCACGAAGTGAGACCGCCGCTCCGCCAGGTCTATCACCTGCGCACCGCCTGTCCCCATCCCGGCTGCAACAATCGATACAAAAATCAATTAGTCAACGATTTAACCCATTGACTTATGATTTAATTTGACCCTGCCGGGCCAGGAATTACGATTTAATTTGGCGAAAATCAGCAACTTTGAACCCTTCAAAATAATCCAGAAATTATTTCTCAAAGGGTGAAAATTGACAAAATAAGCATTCACAATACAACGTTTGAGAAAAATGGTGAAAACTTTGAACACAATGATTTTTTTATGAGGTTTATAGCTGTCAAAATCGCAAGATCAGCGAAAATCAGAAAATTTTGAGGTTATTTCATGTGCAAACGCACAGTAATACGAAAATACCGTATCAAAACAAGAAATTACCGTACTAAATAAGTCATAGGGTGGCCACACTACTCATTTAAACATTGATGAGAACGCAATCTACCGGAGAATTGCCGAATAACGCAAACAATCAGCGGACGGCTCTGAGCCGTCATTTCAGAGCTGGCCCAGCGCTGCGATGACGGCTGGGAGCCGTCATTGTAAGTCAATGGGTTAAACGGCAAGAAGTACTAATTGTAGAAATTGATAGACAAAGTGATAGACAGAAAAGACAAAAGGGATACGGAGGGATCTTACTGGTGGAAGCGGGTGCGGTTGCTATGAACCATAGAGATTTTGACAAAAATCGGCGGAAAATGGGAGGAAATAGCGATTTGACCATACCGTAGTACTTTACTGCCATCATTTCACCGCCATTCTGGCGCGTTTGAAATTCCTTCGAGTCTTTGAACTTTTCAAAAGCGGGCTTGTTCGGGATTTTGGCTTCAAAAACGCACAATACACTACCTAATCTAAACTGAAAAAAAACTCCGGCTGCGGAAGCTGCACTGAAAAAAACACATTAGATCCAGTCTAGAGTCCAGACTCTTAAAAACATCGACAAGAAAAAATACTCTTGATTCAATCAGATTTAAGCTTAAATCAAGAACCAAGCCTCTTAATTTGAGCAGATTTTCTTTTGATTTAAGCTTAAATCTGATTGAATCAAGAGTCCTTTGCTCTTGTCAATATTTTCAAGAGTCTGGACTCTAGATCCAATGTGTTTTTTTTTCAAGTGAATTCTCTAGTACTTTTGGTACCCAAGTAGCATTTTTCAACGGAAGATAGCGATATTTTGAGGGCAAGTTACGATTTTTCGGCGATGAAATCGCTAGGATCATCAACGTCCGAGCGATTATCCTCGATCTTGTCGCAATTTTATTTCTATAAAATCGCGTTGCCTGTTTAACCCGTTTTTGCCAACGTGAAGTAAATTTTAGCAGTACAATTTCTGCTTAACAGTAAAAGCCTTCAAGAGTCACCTTAAATCAAAAGCAAACCCCGTTGGATTAGCACTCAAGACAATCAAGACATTCTTCAATGAGCACAATGGTGTGATCATTTTTCATATTTTGAGCTTTTAAAATCATTCACCCTGATCCCGCGCCCGCTGGCTGAACTTTTCTTCAGGTCACCGATGAGGCGGATTGCCATCGGAGGCGAGGCTCGAATAATCGATTATCGATATTTCCCCATTTCAAGCTACGGTAAAGAATCGATTATTAAGGTGTTCGTTGCGAACGCCCTGTTTATCGATCCTTTTCCATAGCTTTAAATGACAGCTCAATCGATATATCGCGATATGATTGGGTGGTTCCCGTTCAATGTCGTTGCCAAACGGTGGGTGATTGATGCGCGGCGACGATGACGCGTCAGATAATCGATGAGTGACAACGCGTTGGCGTTTTGCACGTCATTTTCTCACCGGTCATCCTCGTTCAAGTATAAGTTCGCGTAAAAGAACGATTGCTCAAGATTCGTTCAAGCCAGCGGCGATTCTTGAAAGTTGGCAACGCTGTTTTCTCTCCATTTGAATGTATGTGAAACAATCGATTCTTGCCGAGGTAGCTTGCCTCCCCTTAAATCGATATTTTTGATTGATTTGAAGGGAGGAAATACAGCGCTGCCAACTTGCAAAATTGCCTCTGGTTCGAGCACTGTTCTACAGTGCTAAGAGAAAACCTCGTGTGGTGTTTTTTATCCGCAGTTTCACCGTTGCTATTTGTTTCCGAAAAAACTTGTGACTATTTTTCCTTGAGAATTTCAGATTCATTGCTTTTAATTTCAATGGTTCAATAGTTCATTCGGTTTTGTTTTATTCAATTTTGGTTTTGGTTTTTGGTTTAAGCCGAAAGGAACCAAGTCACATCAGCCAATAACAAATTTAATCGGGCATTTAATTTGTTACTAGAAAACGGTCGTGCGGATTTTTGGGCAAATTTTAGTGAATTTTCTCCATATCACGAAGGCAATTCTTCCAAATTCTTAAAGAAACCCGCACGAACTTTCTCTTTTAAAAAATTAAATTGACCAGGTAAATGGCGATTGCTGATGTGGCTTAGTTCCTTTCTGCTGAATGCCGTCCACTAGGATTGCATTTTGCCAAAAGGAACCAAAAGCATTCCAGTGTCACTAAGATTGGGCAACTTTTTTTTACCTTGCAATTATAAATTTATCATTCCAACAAGTTCTATCTTTGCTCCCAATAAACTATAATTCAAGACGCAAATTATCTTAGTAAATTTGATTTTTCGCATGATTTCAGTAATTTTATTGCGAATAAGGTAAGTTGCACAATCTTAGCAAATATTGGAATGCTCTTGGTTCCGCACTGAAAAAAAATTGATGTATTTACTAAAAAAAGGGTAAAATTACCAAGAATTCAGGGTTCTATTTGATCCCAGTTTTTTCTTGGTAAAATTACCAATTCCATAAATGGTATTTTTACCAAGAAATCTCGGTAAAATTATTGAACTGTCTCGGTAATTTTATTGGACCTTAGTAAAAATGCCAATAATTTGTATCGACTGTGGTAGAATCACCGAGATAAAATGGCAAAGTTACCGGGAATTGATCACCAATAACAGTGGTATTCTTACCTGAAAAAAAAAAAACAGTAAAAACATCGGTTTTTAGGTACGCTTACCAGTCTATCTTGGTAAAATTACCAATAATTGGTAAAAAAAAAGTGAGATGGTAAAGGTACCAACGGACCTTGGTAAAAACGCCGAGAATTTTTTTTCGGTGCGTTATGCAAAATGAAATCAAGTTGATGGATGGTGTTTCACGACTCTTACTTACAAGAGCGCCGGAAAAATGAAAATTTATCTTGTCGTACTTCGGTTTATTGGCAATAAAACTGAACTAGATCACGGACGCAGCTCTCTGACTCCTGGCCGTCAACATCAAACGCGTTAATTATTCTCATCACGTGTGACATCTGTTACAAGTGCGTAAGTGAGATAATCAGTGGAAACAACGGCCGTCTAAACCTTCATTTTTAAAACCTCATAAAATCCTCGGTCCTGAAGGCAACTCCACCGTCCTGCCAAAACGACGTATGTGCGCGGACCTCCCTTGAGACTTACTCGATTCTTAGCTATGAAAGTAGCTGTATCAAGAACTATGATAGCCCCGGGCGATACCCGCGAATTGCGGATACGTGTTGGAAGAAGACAAACTTGAGAAGCTTTTAGCGTAGTGCGTACGTATTTATTACCGCTCGTCCGTATTTCTGTGCTAGGGAGGAACGCCGTAAAACCCGCCACACGTTGCCAAATTCTCTTCGATAAAATTGGAATTAATTAAAAAATTCACGACTTTTTATCCTGTCAATTTTCCAAAAAAATCTAATCGCAAATTAATTTAGAGTATCTGAAAATTTCAAGGAAAGATCTTCAAATATATCGCTGAAAATAAATATTTTATTTGGATCCATTTGGCAACGTTTGAATGTTCATTGGCGTTTTTCTCTAGAGTATAGTGAGTACCTCGGGTGGCAGTTGTATTATGCGTATTCAACTCATTAATCCTTTCATTGACCCAGATAATGAGTTCCTTGTTTGTTTGGAGCTCAGTGTGGGATGCGCTGTAATAGATGTAGATAGGTGAATCGGGGTTATAAGTTACGTACTCGCTAAAAGTTACGGATTTCGTAACTGCGAATGAGTCATCTGCAGTAATTGTCACAAAACCATGTTTCGACAGGATTAAAACGCCAGACTGCATGAGTGTTTTGTGTCTATGCAAGTATTTTTCTTCTATAAGGTTCTCTGCAAAATCGCCCTCAGTTGGAGCATTAATTATCAATTGAATCAGTGAGTTCGAAAACACACCAACTCGGGTTTTTTTCGATCTTCACATTTTTACGGTTTAGTAACACCTATGGATAGAAGCATCTGCACGCAAAAGAAAATTTCGAAATTGCAATCGGAAGTGCTCGAAACAGCGACGGGAAAAGGAAAGAATCGAAGTATTTCATTGGAAATACACCAATTTTTGGCCATTTTAAGGGAAACGGGTGACCATTCAATTTTGCGGTTTTCTTTTTTCAGTTCAGTATACCTTGTACCAATAAGTCACATAAATATTCAAGCGTTATTCTGGTCGAAAAATATAATTTTTTCAGGGCAGACTATGAAAAATCAGTATTTGAAAGTCGGTGAGAACGAAAACACACCAACTCAGAAATTTTTAAACGCTTAATTCTCTGTCATCAAACATGGTGTATCGATTTCAACTTTGTGCTTTACAAAGTCTCTAAATACTTGTCCTTTGGCACCAAGAGGGTTTCTCTTAAACTAATTTCTTCGCCCGCTGCGCAGTTTTAGGTGTTTCCTGAACAATTTTTTTTGCCGAGTTTCCCGTGTTTTTGAACTCACTGATTCAATTAGTGTGGCAGCTGTAGTTCATACATTTTTCATAAAATTCAAAGCACTTTCGGAGATTTCAGCTAAAGTGATGCACTTTCAATCCACTGACGACGCCGCGAATCGGATCACCACGGGCAATTCATAGCGCGCACCCGACATAACGCCTTCAACATCCCGTAGATACTTCAAACGCTACACGGTTTCACCTATGATCCGATGTGCAAATTGCCTACACTGCGCCTGCTGAATTGTATACCACCGTGTTTCCAGGTGTACACTAC